CAGCAAAAGCAACAGAAGCTGCAAGAGCAGCAGCAACAACAGCAACAGCGCCACTCGACGCACCGCATCTTGTTGCATTTGACCCGGGGTCAAGTTGCTGGCAGGCCGAGGCACACACACGCCGGATACAGGAGACACCCGAGAAGAGGGACGCCAGGGAGCTTATTTATCAGTTGAACCGATCCCCGGCAGTGGCACACTGGCCACCGCTATTATGCGGTATTATTCCATGGCAACAGACCTTTTCCAGAGGAGCGGGAGGAATTTTAATTCATTTTGAGTGGAATGCGGTTTTCTTTTCAACAGATTATTTAAAATAAATCCAAAGGGAACTCTAATTGAGTTCGGTTTAATACAATTCGAGGTCCTTTAGTAACTAAAAGTATAAGCAACAACACTTTATTGTAATAACATTTGTAATAATTGTAACATTTGTGTAATAAATCGTATTTTTAAAAATTAAAATGTAGTCTTTTTTTTTTTTTACAGACACATTCAAACAAAATTAGTTTAGTCGATGTTGTTACTCTGTTAAACATTTTACCAACAGTTTTCGTTGAGATTTGAAGTGGTCTTTATAGTCATAATAGGCTAAAAATCTCATCTCTTTGTTATCCTTTTTAAATCATACGAGATACATAAAGTAAATGCAATTATTTTTTAATCCCTGAAGTAGCTTTTTTGTTAAAGGCCACTGTGCGAGTGGAAAAGTCCCTTAATGCCCGACTCACTTCGGTGCACTGTCCTTGCCGTGGCAATATTTTCAGGGAGCTGCCTGCAGCCGGCTAACTATCGAAATGAATGCATGAAAAACTACGAAACGGTAATGTGCAGTTGCCATGCAGCAGAGGACCGTAGGAGGCAGCAGCAACAGCAACAGTAGCAGGAGCAGCAGATGTTGCTGATGGAGCTGCCCTGAGTTGTATGCTACACTTTTTGCGACGCACTCCGTGCCATAGTGTGTGTGTGAGTGTGGATGGGCGAGGGAGTGGCCGTGGCGCATATCCTTGACTGTTTATTTGCCGCTGCCTACTAGCTGCCAGCGGCTTACGCGTTTCCAATGCTGTTGCAAATACCAATGTTGCTGTTGCTGTAGTTGGTGTTGCTGCTAGTGTTGCTGTTGCAGTTGCCAGCAGCAACAGTTGCGTGTAGAAAGATGGACAGGCGACTGGCAGAGCGTAGATACTGCAGCTTGTTTGAGTGGGCAATGGCAACAAAAGCGGCAAAAAATATTTATGAAACACTGCCGACTTCTGCCGTATGGATTTTGCAATTTTTCCCCTAATTGGCAGACAGCCGATTGTTTTTCAAGTGCGAATTCATCGTGTGAATTACAGTTATTATTGAAACGAATCAATGGTCTATATTGGCTTCATTTTTAATGAAAGCACTCAAGGGCCTGCTGGCGGAATCATTAAAAAGCCAATTTTTTATTGATCTATGGCACTTCAAATGTAACGTCTAAAAAGCGGAATGAAACCTAAAACTAATTTTTATTTTCAGCTACAGTCCAATATACAAATTCTTAGGAACTGAGATTGAGTGAATAATTAATCACGGTGAATATTTAAATTATTTTAATTCGGACTTGATGTATTTAATATAATATATTTCCATGTATGTATTGTAACAGTTATATAATGCATTTATATACCAATATTTTGCGGGATTTTCCTTGGGAGTGACTTTCAAATAATGAAATACATTTTATCTACCCCTTATCTTATCAGATCTAATTTTAAATTGAATATTGTTTCACATAGCTAGCCAGCAGTTTTCCTTATTTTCCCAGCCTAGTCACAAATCAAATCTGCGATTCTCACGTTCGATAAGAAAGAGGAGCAACTCCGTTGGCTGAACTAATTTCTTTCTCGCTGCGGCCTGAGTTATGGAGCTTAAATTGGGCAGACCCCCAAGACCCCGAAAACCGAGGAGGACCACAAAATTTGCATCCCCTCCCCCGGCTCCACCACTTTCCACCGCTTCCCCTTGACGTCCAGTCTATATCTTTTCGCTTCTGGAAGTGCGGAGGCATCTACATAAATGTGGCTTTTCATTAAAATCTAAAAGCATAAATCTAAAAAGTGAAACCAACAATGCCGGAGCAGACACAGGCGGACATCTGCGGTGTGCACCACCCCCGAAACCCCCTCATCCCCCCTTGCCCCCTTCCCACCCCCCTTTCCCCCACTCGATTACCCTCCCTATTTCCCTCGATTCCACAGGATCTGTTGGCTGACTGCTTTATGCCTTTCTTCCTTCCCGTCTGAATTCGAACCTGTTTTTGTTCTTGTATTTGTGTCTGTGTGCGGCTTTTGCGGGAGTGTGCGTGGCGAAAACTAATTGAATTTTGAAATTCAAGTCGAAATTAAAAAATTAGAAACAGCCGGCCGCATTTGGCAATCGCCAGCCGAAATAAACTGTAAACTGTAAAACGGAAATGTATTCGGCAGGTGGAAATTGAAACTGATTGAATTGTAAAGTGAAGCATAAAATGCTTTTGCCTGCGTTGTTTTTGTTTGCAGCTGCCGCCACGCCCACCCACAACCACCGCCCCGCCCCTCCATTCACCCACTTGTTTTTGTTTTTGTGTAATTTATGGTTTTCGATTTTAATTTGCGCACTTAGACTTATTTTATGGGAGTTTTCTCGTTTTTTTTTTTTGCATATTTCGCCGCGCCTTCTGTGTTTTGTCACAACAAAGTGTGGAAATGATTTAGAACGAGAGTTGATTGAGGAATTTAAGGGGCCTCAGAGTTAGAGTTAAAAAATTGTCTATCTAAATATACAGTAAAACAAAGCAATAAATAAATTCATAACATACATGCATTGCGATTATAGATAATCTAAATTTTAAGATTAGATAAATTCTAAGTTATTTGCAACTTAGTAGTATGCTTTCCCGATAAACAATTGCATACAGAATTAAAGTGTTTTTATTTATAATAAAATAAATATATTTTCTATATTTAGTTAGCTTTTTATTCACCCCTTGCTAAAATGGATAGCTGCCCTCGGTGCAAACCCTTAAGACATATGCATTATGATTAGCCACCGTAATTGAAGTTTAACTGCGCGTGTAATAAATGCGATTTTTGGCCATTTGCGACGCATTAAAAGCATAAATAATACAGGGCGAAAGTGTGAAAATAAAGACACGCGATATGTTGTGTTCTTCGGGGCTTCGCCCATTTCTCCAAAGAAATCCAAAGGCATTTCTCAAAACGGGAAGAAATACGGCACAATTTTTGATGAGTTGAGGATTTGGGGCACGCGAAATGGGCGCGAGAAAATGTGCGAAATGCGATATTGTGCGAGGGCATTAAGAACGTGCCGGCATTACCAAACCTAGACCGACATATATGCGTCTGAATGGATGTGGCTGGGACCAAGGATGTGGCAGTGGAACTGGAAGTGGAACTGGATGAGGATGTGGATGTGGATGTGCTGTAGACCGCAAACAAACGACGGCGACTTATTCATTGCGCTTGCCATTAAGGTGGCACTCGCTGCCATTTGGCCATGCCCACTGCCAGGGACCCCAATTCCTTCCTTTCCCCTCCAGGGTGATATATAACACGCTCATAATTGGTCATAAATCTGACAAATGTAATTTGTCATCACTCAAGCAGCTAGCGAACCGGGGACAACATCACCCCAATCCTTCGCAGTCCAAAAAAAAAAAAAAGCGGGTTTTCCGACTTACAGATACCTGGTGCACAGCGCCTTTCGTTTTCAAATAAATAAGTGTCATTGCAGCAAATGTAATTTGGCATTAAAGCCGGAAAATTAATTTGAAATTTAATTGGAATATCCTAAACTTTTTTAAAGTACGTAAACTAAAATATAACTGGTTTAACATCTCATACAATTGGTTTTAAAGTATCACATGTCCTTCAATTACATTTTAAATAATTAATAAAAAAGAAAATATATCAAAAATAATGCTACACAGCCTTTTCAACAAATTGTAAATCTCTTAATAAAATAATAAAGGCAATTAAATATGCAAAACATAAGCACATTATATTGCTTCTTCAAAACCCTGAAGCACTTTTAGCCACCTCAACTTCCTTTAATATTTATTATTCTTTGACCACATCGAAACCATATATCCTTTGAGCTTCCTGGCATGGGAATCCCCCTGATTTCCTCCTTTTTCCCACTTTCTGTCCAGCTGGACGACTTGGCCATGCGACGAGTATACTGAAGTGCCAAAATGAAAAAGGTGCTTGACACAAAATGTCAGCTGGATATTTTTTATTACACAATCACAACAAACACACACATACACAAACACACTCACACGCAATGACTAACACCTTCGAATATGCCCAGAAGCATACTATGTTTTTGTTTTAGTTTCCACACACACACACACACCCACACAGAGACAAACCATATTTTTGGGCACTCCACACATAAGCCACAAAGTAGTTACTTTTTATGCCCGTGAGCCACCCACTCGCACCAACCACTCAGAAAAGGACTTGGGACCCGATTCTGATTGTTTTCCTCAACGCTCACTTGAGCTCGTAAATATTTTACAAGTTTGGCCTGGTCCCCCGGCTCTCGAAACTAATTTCAGCTCTTATAAATGACATACGGCTCCTTTGGTCCGAGGAGGAGCCGCATCTACATTTCGTTATAAATGACTTTGAAAAGGCCTAAACGTTGTAAATGGAGTAAGTGCGTGTTTCTGGTCAGAGCCTCGTCATGAGCATTAAGTTTAAATGGGCGGCAGCAATCAATAGGCCATGATAATTTATGGCGATTATGTCGGCCAAAAGCTGAGAAAGTTGTCCGAGAATATGACTTAATATCAAACTTTGATTTTCTATCAAGGGAAGGAGATAAGTAAACATGATGTGAAGGGAAATCTTTGCTTACGAAATGTTTGCAATATTGATAGGGAAATATTCCTTCATTTAATATTCATTAAATAAACCAGATATAATAAAAATATAATGGAGAAATGGAGTAAATATTTATTGAACTGTAAAAGATTATTTTTTAAGCTCGTAAAGTGTGGCGAGAGAAAGAATCCAACCGTAGTGTACCATCCATTGGATTGTCACATAAAAAACTGTCAATGTCAAAAGGTAAAAGAGCAGCGAAAGGCGAAATTCATAGCCACTCATAGAAATGTGGAGCAAACTGGTCGACAGGATTAGGAAAAGAAAATGAATGCCTGTCTCCGTTGAAGCAGTGATAATTAACTGCAGAATAAACATGGTCAGATTTTAAAGAACTATAATATAAGTTGACAACTTACTTTGCAACTGGGGTTGTAGCATCCCTGGAAATACAGCAAAGGAAAAGCCAAAAGGATGGAATAGGTTACCATGCTCATCACGACTCCAAAGGTGGCATCCCACATTTTCCTCAGCTGCAGACACCTCACGACAATCACCTGGCAGAACATGCCGCCCAACTCAAAATACATTAAAGCCACGACATCGGGCATTACATCGAAATGAACGCTGATGTACTGCCAGGTGATGTTCTCTATCCCGCCAAAAAATAAATTCATGACTGCCGAGCTGGTGATCAAGCCCAGAAGCGCAAAGAGCCAAACATTGTCGGGTCGTCTCAAGGGATGGGTGGAAATGAAGACCAGGATGCTGAGTAGCCAGCAAACAAGGAGCATCATTATCCAGACGAAAGCCTTGAAACCATGGAGGAGGAATATGAATGGCAGGACGATCAGGCAGATACAGCATACATGTTTTCGAAATCCCACCAAAAATCTGTCCTTTGTTATAACCGGAATGAAAAGAGATGCGATAAAGTAGATGGGCATCTGAAGAGGAGATCTTAATTCAATCGAAAATTGATGATATGCTTATCTAGTTTTAAGCTATCTAAAAACCAACAGTTGTCTAAGAACTGGATCTTTACATACCATAATAATTCTATAGATCACATGCAAGTCCTTCATGTTCTTCCTCCCGTTAATTGTCCTTAGCCAAATTTGTTTTTTGGTAAACACTCTTTGCTTTTCATATTTGCCCAAGATCTCATCACCGCTGTCCATATCCCAAAAGATATTTTCTTTTTGTTTCCGTTTTTCAGAGTTCCGTTGGTAAGTTGTGTGTGACACGACAAAAATTACCAGTAAAACTATTACGAAAATATACAGGAAAACGATCACCCGAAATTTAGCTAAATGCTCGTCGGTATTCCCTTTTTCAACTTGGTATGACTTCTTGGTAACTGCGAACAGGTATCCCGTTCCGACTAAAATGAAGGACATGCAGGACCAAAGGGTAACTCCTTCAGCTCGATATCCCTGCGTGCAGATAGTCATAACTCCTATCAGAAAGTATCTCAAAATGTCCCCCACGATTTTGGAGAACTGCACAGGAGTTAAGACCTTTTCCGGAGAATTACAGACCTTCCAGTCACTGATATAATAGGATGCAAAAAAACTTGGCCCAGAAATTAGAAAACTTATACCAAACATTGTCATAGGCGCAAATTGAATAAGTGTCACTAAGTTCGGCACAAAGCTGTAAGACAGTATTAAGAAGAAAATGTCATATGTCGAGACAATATTAGTAAATCACCCACAAATATTTAGTCAGCATGAAAAGCACGCAAAAATATGCCAGTAGTATAACCGCACTTATCAACCCGTAAATTGAAAATGTGGGAATCGGTAAAAGACAAAAGAAAAGTTCTAAGTAGTTAATAAAATACGCAAACAATCCACAGCTGGTTCTACTCGTTGCAAGATCACAAGTCAAATTGACTTGTCGATAAGAATCTTTTGGCAGTACACATCGGCTCTGGAAAAAACCAAGGTTGACTTATCGTTCATGTTTATCCTCTTTGGTACTTGCCACATCTGAGAGCTCCACAAACTCCATAGTTAAAAGATTCCAATAAAAGTTTCAAATTTATTTTTACTTTTGAAGGCGTTACCTAAGGGTTCTAAGTTGAGGATTTACAAAAATATTTCGTTAAGATTTTTATTTATATTTTTAACATGTTTAATATTACAAACAATGCATTTTATTTATTTGTATGTATTATTATAATATACTTCAAACCTTAATAATTGTTAAAAACTATTCATAGTTTTAATCATTACAATGCCAACTATGCGGAATACAAAAAACGAAAGTATGTGGACAAATTATTTTGTTATCCAAACAACTGGCTGTATAGATCTCCAAATTCATTAAGTGAGCCTACTTAGTTCTCATACAGACATCTACGAGGAATTCCAATGGCCTCTGGTCCTCAAGGTGCAGATGCAAATGCACTGCCTTCAAAATGGGTCAACATGTGGTTCATGAGCGATCGCCGTCGTCATCTTCAACGTGACGAGACCCAAGTACACCATATATCATACGTACATATCTCTCCTCTGTTGTTGTTTATCTTTTGTGCCTATCCAGGCCTCAACGGCTAAAGATTCGAATTTTCGCCGTAATGAAACTTGATGCGACACATTTGGCAAATTGCCTTCGCATCATCAGCAGGCATCAACATCGCCCGAAAACATGATATTCCGTTTTTTCGGTCTCCAAGAGAAAATCCGAGAACTTGCGAGCTCGTCTCAATTAGCGCCAATTGAATTATTACACGTCGACACTCATTCAATTTTCAGTGATAGGGGAAAAAGCCCACGGGCAAGTGTTCGCAGGCTTCTGATGGACGAGTGTGTCTGAAAAGAAAAATGATGGAATGCCCTACCGAGATTTAATCGGAGATCGGAGCACCAAGGTCCATACAAAATTTGTATTGCACAACAAATAGGCTGACCCTAAAGCTTATAAAAGTATTACAAAATTAATAATAATATTACTTTTTACAAACTTAATCCTTAATTTATAAAGCGCATCTACCTTAACACGTATAAGATACTAATTTTTTCGGTCGAAAACTCAAACTAACAAAAACTAAAATAAATAATGTACATATTTTTTTTTTGACACTTAATTTATGTAAATAGATGTATTCCTTAAAACTTTAAGTATTATTAAGCAATTTTTCAATCATCTGGATAAATTCACAAAACACGTAAATACTTTCTTACTTTCTTTATTGCAATCACAATATAAATTGTTTTGACAGTTATGTTTTTTTAAACTGTTTAAAAAAATATTAAAATTTGGTTTTGAATCACTATTGTTAATTTTTGAATATTACAATAAATCGAATATGCCTTATGCCGAATCGTAGGGCATCGTCCCACGCATTTGCCACTTTCCTCGGATAAACGCGTCGCAGTTGTGCCGCCTGCCTCCAGTTCGTCCGCACCATTCAATCAGTAAAGATCAGTTTCAATTCGTCGCGATCAAGATGAGATCCTGGTATTTGACACTCAGCCTGTTGCTAATCGCAGCATCCATATTTCACTCCGCTGAAGCTCGAGGCGGAAGGGGGCGTGGCGGTGGTTCATTTGGAGGCCTCTTCGGCGGATGGCGCAAGTACAAGAAACCATCTTCGTCGGGCGGTGGAAGGCGGGTGGTGAACGGTTCGCCGGTGCACACGGCGATGACGGTGCCAAAACCACCACCACCACCTGCACCACCGAAGCCGATAATGCCCTCCAAACAGCAGATTCCCAGCTATCCGCGCCAGCAAATGCCAGCGGGCTACGGCTACGGATCGTATCCTGGCCAAGGAAGCGGGACGTACTACGCAAATGCCCAGGCTTTGCCAGCGGGAGCGGTTTACTACGCCCAACCACCTGTGGGAATGAATAGGGGACTGGGTGAGTATCTAGAGTGATATTTAAGTTAAGTGAAGCTTTCAACTCGTAAAAGAAAATGAAAGTGAGATAAAAATAAACATGATAAATAAATATGTAATTGTATAAAAAATCAGAACGGTTCAAGCGAACAAAATTGGTACGCAGAAAATAGTTTATGTATGAGAGCAGTTGATTGATTTTTTTAATAAACACTTGAATAAAACCGGCTACTTGCAACCAAAATTATAATTTAATTTTTTAAATCTTTTCAATATTAAAAAAAATATAAAGTATTTATTATATTATTTTAACATAAAATAAAAACAATTTCTCATTTTGTGCGGTAAATAGTATAAAAGATCTAAAAGAAAATATATTTTTTTATGCTACTCAAGTTGTTTCTATATTTTATTACTTAGCGTACTAATATTCATTAAAATAACCACTCAATTTGAAGCATATCGGACTGAAAACCTTTTCAGTTGTATAAGAAATCTAGATATAGCTTTTCTTTACAGCCAAAACCTCAAAGTCACTTAATAATTTCTTAGTCCATATTAACCGAAATAATTCAGTAGTTTTATATGTCCCCCTTTTATTCAACTACACAGGCACTGGGGATTTCCTAACCGGAATGCTGGCGGGTCACATGATGAACAACCTGCTGTTTGGCCACCGTCACCACGCATACCACAGAAATCGAGAGGAAGTTCCGTCACCGGAGGGAAATGGTCGCCAGATCATTATCGTGAACAATGGTCAACAGGCGGGAGTTGCGCAGAACGAAACCACCATTTCGGGGGAAGCCTCTGCTGTAGTGCCTCCTGAAAATCCAATAACAGAGGAGGAGGAGGAGGGGCAGGGCGAGGGGGGAGGGGGAGAGTGAGTCCGTTTCCAGCGAGGAATCCCCGGAATTCGAGGCCACTCCTCAACCATATCCAGATGGCGGCATCATATGCTTTCCCATCATGCTCAACGAAACAGATCCCGAAAACTCGGAGGTGATGCGAGAAGTCGAGCGGGTGGTTTGCTTTCCAGCACCGCCCCACAATCCGGACATCCAGCCCACCATAACCACTGAGCCACCCATTGTTGCCGGCGATATTGTCAGTGGTGCGGAGAATGGCTCGGAAGGCGGTGGACGTGATGAGGTCAGCAATGGCGGCAGTGGTGGCCCAATCGAGCTGGCCAACTTTGTTGCCACAAGAGCTGCCGCACTGGAAGTGCGCTCCTCTTGAGTACTCCTAAGATAGACTATAAGTAAAATAAAGTTAAATAAACATTGATAACTTATTGGCAACTGCTGTTTTTCATCTGGTGTACAAAACTTTTTTACATGGGTCCTCTGTATTGGGGAGTGAAAAACTTAAAGATAAAGTCTTTAATGCTAATCACTAATTTTTGTTGATTAACAAAACAAAGGTTGACTATTAAGTATTGAAAATGTTTAGACTTAAAAAACTTTGGTATTATTTATATTTAGGAAGCTTAGTCACGATAGTAGTCTTGAGTAATATATAGCTTTTAGTTAAATTTAAAAGTTAAAGGGATAGCTTTTCACCTTTACCAAGTTTTAGTTGTCACCACGCAAAAAGGTGACCCAAACCAGAAGACCACAAAAATAAAACAACGTCAGAAACATCCTTGACTTTATTAAAATTGCTAAGTTGGGAATACACTCGGAAAAATTATTTCCTAAAAGTATGTTAGGTTTTGTTCGTTAACATATTTTGTTAACAGTTTAATTTTACCTACTATGCGGTTTACAAACTGTAGCTTTTGTTTCTATGTTAATGGTGGTATAATGTTTAAAATCTTAGTGCTAAGTACATTTTAAAAACTCGATAATTGAAAATTTCATGAAATTACAAATATTAACCTAGAGCATCGGTTTAAAAATATCTTTCCTTTTACTTAATAAAGTTATAGATTTAAACACTTAATTTTTGTAATACCACTTAAATTATAATATTTTTCTTTCTTATCATGACTACTAATAATTCGGCAACATTTTAGCGTAGTACCCTAAACAATAATATAATAGCTGAGCTTAAAAATACAACAGGCAGAGCGCTACGCCAACTGCGACTTTGGCAGCGACGTCACCGTCGACTGAGACGTTGACTTTGGTGTTGATGGCAAATAAAAACGAAAACAATAAACTAGAATAGCGGATTTATGACAGTGTTTGAACTTCAAGATACCTTGTACCATTTTCTGTTGTGATATAGTATATTACCCACTGTGTTTTTAACACGAACATTCGCTTAAAAGCAAATATAAAGTTAGCTAACTGTACTGTTGACACTTTACAAAAATACTCAATACTTTAGTTTAAAAAATTTCAGTCCGTGCATTTTCGTTTTCTCTACGTTTCTCTTGAACAATATACCCGTTTGCACCTCAAGTAATGGGAATAGTCAAAACAAAAACAAAGTAGCGACACGAGCTCAAAACACGCAGACAAAAGCCTTTTGTGAGTGCGAGTGTGAGCGTGCGATGATCCAACAAGAGCAATGAAGCTCACTTGGCGCTCATTAAATCCACCAACACCCACAACAAAAACCGCAGTAGAAACTACAGCAACAAAGTCGAGCAATAAAGTAAATAAAAAGAACGGTTGAACGCGAAGAGAATATGACGTACAGTTTTGACATTCATAAGTTCTGAGTAGCTTTGCCAAGTAATATCATTCACACAAGTTGGAAAAAATAAAAAAATTTAAATATGTATATAGTATAGTAACATTTTATAGTAATATATTTATTTCCGGATAAAAGTGTTTTGTAAGTTTTAAAATCAGCTTTTAAATGTATAAAATTAAACAGACTGCCAAGGAATAAAATAGTTAAAGATTCCTTTAAAACCACATATGTATCTTTCATTTAATTTTGATCAAAACAAAAGACAAGGACTGTAAATTTTGTATTTAATTTTTTATTTTTTGGGTTTATCGTGTTAATCTTGTCTCTTACGCTAATCCTTATCTTATGCACTCTTAATTCCCTGGATGATTGTACAAAAGCACAAAGATAAAAGCTGAAGAACAATATGAGAAATTCCCTTAGGAGGCGCACACTAAAAAGCTAAAATTAAATAAAAGTGCCCAAGAGACAATATAGTAACACCAAAAACGTCAAACATAAAGAGAAATCGGTGGGGAGCATTCGGTAAGCCCACAGAAAAAAATCGTAACACTGTAGCACTTAAAACATAAATATTTTAAGCATAAAAAGTTTATTTAAATAATATTTTTATTATTTACATTATATTATTTATTTAATATTTTTTTTAATATTTTAAATATTTTTAAAAGTTTTTATTCGTCGTTCGAAAATTCAAATAAAAAGGGTCAATGCATGCTGATTTTTTTTAGTGTGCTGACCACTGGCACGCCAGCAGCTTGTTGGATTCGCTCCCGCTGTCGCTGCTCTGCTGCCGCTCTGCTCGCCGCAGTCCGCTCCAGGGGAAAACGCTAAATACGGACGGTTTTTCAGCTCAATTCAGTTGTTCGAGAAACTTTGCACGAAACAAAAGCGAAAATCGCACGCGGTGAATAAATCAAGCGGAATAAAAAGCAAACAAAAGTAAATATTAAACTAATTAAGGATTAATACATCTCAAAACGTGCGGTGTTGTGTCAAAATTAGGGTTTATAAAAATTACTTGTTTTGAATTTTTTAAGGCTTGAAAAGCAAGTTCATTGATTTAAATTTTAAAAGCTAATTGCGGGGACAGCTTTTTGTTTATTTCTTTTTTGCATTGCTTGTACGCCTTGAAGGTCACTCCAAAACAAAATAAAAAAATTTTATTTGAGGAATCGCCAACACAAGCCAGACATATTAAAAGGCTGTTGCCCATCAAAATCAGTTTGAGGTTCATAAATGCTTTAAAGTATTGAATGGCCAAATATATTATATTACCAAATGTTTTGGTATAAAGTGCATACAGCCCTCTGAACATTGGAGTTTTTTTATTTACTACATAGACGAATTTGCGTTGTGCACTCAACAGGTTGATTTAAAATTAGAAAATTCTATTTTGTTATGAATAAATCTCTGTAGATGAGAAAGAACGCATTTGAAAAGGCGGGAACACATTATACATATGTACACATTTTCAACAAAGTAAATTTATGATTTGATGCATTGAGGCAGAACCAATTAGAACGGAACTTATGGAGGTCGAACTAAACATTCTAGGAATTGGGAAAAACTCATTAACTCATTAAGACTAGCTTAGACTTTTAATTTCAGGCACACAAGTAGTATTTTAGTAAAATACAAAAATGCTAATAGAAAAAGTATCATTTCAGTATAGTTCTTTAGCCGGCTTTGGCACGTTATTGCAACAATTGTAATAGGTTTGAAAGCTAGTGTCATAATTTTGAAGTATTAGATCATCAGATCATTCATAGTAATCTGTAGAAACAGCTGCTATATCTCATTTGAAAAACAATAATACTAAATTTAACATACATAAATTAATTTTGTTTTGAGAGCTGCTTATTTACTCAGCTGCACATTACTATTTTTGCCATAACCATTTTTAAAAATCACCCACTCAAAAACTCACATAACTAACCGGCTTTCGACGCCCCATTAACTTTTTTTTTTATATCTTTCGTCTCTGGGATATCGCATTTCTGCCATATATTATGTAAGACATGTTCAAACAAAGCTCTCTTCAAGGCTTAACAAATAAGTGATTCATTTATTATTGAAGAAACCAATTCTATTGAAACGTTGGTGGTCAAACCCGAGCACATTGACATCTGACACAAGATAAGAGGCATCTGATAAGAAAACGTTTTCTAGACTATTTCTCTCAATGAGTAACCTTAATTTTGTGCGTATTTTCGTAAAGAGTCATTAATGGCTGGGCATTTTTGATCAGAATATTAAAAAACATTTAGAATTCATGTTTTTTTTTTTTGTACAATTATGACGATTGGTGATTTTCTATATAATTTTTTTGACTTCTAACGCGTGCTAATCTGTAAGCGTTTTGACATCTGACTTTGTACAGCGATAAGCGCATGATTTCTGGACCAAACCTCTCAATAAATAAGAAGTCCCATCCGGCGCTAGTATAATTCGCAGAAATCGAGAGACAATGAGTAAACAATCGTGATGTAAACAGCTTCGTGTGGAACGATTTCCCCGTTGACGTCATAGCTGCGCATGCGTTGCAGTTCAGTGGTTTTATTAGTCATCAAACTGGTTTATCACGTTGTTAGCATCGCATGAAGATGCATTTCACCGGGTCCATGCGACAGATCCAAACAAAAGACTACTAAAATCACAGGTAGAATTGTTTGTTTAGAAAAATATTAGAACTGATGACTAGCTCAAACTAGTTTATCACATTTGCATTTCTCCCCGAATGCATGTGACAGATCTAAACAAAACACAGCTACATTTTATTTAGAATTTTTTGTTTAAAAAAATTATTAGAATCTGTAAACTAGTCATCAAACTAGTTTATTGCATTTTTAGCACCGCTTGCAGTTTTCTTCGAACGCATGTGTATGATCTCAACAAAAGTTTGCTACAATTGCAAATAGAATCATTTGTTTAGAAAAAATAAAAAAGAATTCTCAACAAAATAACGGTTTAATTGTGTTCCAAACAAAGAAAAAATATGGATTATTTAACTTTGTTTCTGTTTCTTGAAATAATTTGATTTTAAGCCTAATAAACAAAAAGGGTTTTTCTTTGGTGCTATTAAAAGGCAAAAAAAGTGATTTTATGAATTCAAAATTATATTGTATCAATCCACTTTAGTTTGGCAACAATTTTGTAATTTTTTATTAGGCTTCTGGCCCAATAAAAAAACTTCCGTCAGCCTTGTAACCCCAAGACTTGACCTCCAAATCCGTCTGTTTGTAGTTCTGGGCCTCAGGCTGGGTGTGTTGGCGAACTGAAGGCGAAACTCAATGGAGTGTAGCCACGCGAACGCGACAAGCCGCCCAAATCAGCAAGTTAATTACCATTAGTCGGACGCCCAAGACACGCATAACGCGCTTCTAATTTGGTCAAAAAGAAGGAGGCAGGCCTTACCAAACCTACTGTAAATTTGGTAATCGGGGCGTGACACGCGTCACTGTTCAATAGTTCAAGTGGATAAGGAAAGTGCCAGAAGTAAGGAGAATCGTAGCTTTGTAAAAGCGATAGACCTACAAATTTAGTCTGTAATTTGCAGTTGCTTTATCGTAATTCTGACTTATTACCAGTGTAAATTGAATCAATTGTTTTTACGCAAACATGAAAATAAAGCCAAGCTGACTGATGATGACTGACACCGCGTACGAAATCAGGGTGCCGTAGGGGAATAAATAAAAAGAAATTATATAAGTTGCTTTTATACCCTGTAATAAGTCTAAATATAAAACGAATTTCAATATTAAAGTTACATTAACAAATTATATTAACAAAATAACAAAAATTTTTAGTTCTACTTACGTATTTAAAACTTGACAGCTGATCATGACTGTCCAAGGGTTTTCCCATACATTATAATATTTAAAATAAACTTAGACTTACCCCGAATTCATTGTGAGTAATTGAGAATTGAATCTATTTTAGAATGACGATTTATCCGAGGCGGCTCAATGGCAGCCTAGTGGTAGTGGTGCTCCTGGTTTTGGCGCTAAACACCGAGGATGTGGATGCCAAGTGGAAGTTTGGCGGCGGCAGCAAATCCCGCGGTAGCTCCAGTAGCTCCAGCAGCAGCAGGCGGACGCACACCTACACACCTTCGTACCACCCGGCTCCGGCGCACCACCCGGCACCAGCGCACCGCCCAGCTCCGAACGTGGATAACGCGAGGCTGTCCTACGGAGGTAGCTCCCAGCCGGTGAGCAAGGTGAGCACTTCGCAGACCCACAGTGCTGCTCCCTCGGCGCCCGCCTCTCCGATTGGATGGAATGTGCCTGCCAAGCCGCAAGGACCTCCGCCGGCGTACTCCGCCTCGAATACTGCTGGTGGGGCTCACACCAACATCCACGAGCGTCCGCCGGCCTACAATCCCTCCTACAAGCCAGCGCCCCCCAGCTACTCGGCAGCCACCCAAACCCACAGCAACACCAATCTGCAGAATGCACCGCGCCCAGCAGGAGTTGCAAGTCCCAGTTCCAGTTCCAGTTCGAGTGGTCCGCACTACTACGGCACATCTGGCTACCGGGGCCGCAATAACTCCACCGGTGGATTTGGATCTTCGGGTGGTTACCACCAACCCATTACGGCCACAAATGCCCACAACGTGCAGTCGAGCTATCCGCGCCAGCAGTTGCCAGCTGGCGCCACCTACCATCCGGCGGGTCAACTTCCCGCTGGCGCCACCTACCACCCAGCAGGCCATTTGCCGGCAGGAGCCTCTTACCACCCAGCGGGTCAAGTGCCCCACGGAGCCACCTACTATCCAGCGGGTCAGGTTCCTGCCGGAGCCACTTACCATCCTTCCGGAGGCTATCCCTCCGGTGGTTACCCGGCTGGTGCCACTTACCACCCGGTTGGACAAGTTCCCCACGGAGCCACCTACTATCCACAAGGACCCGTCGCCGGTGGAGTGCCGGCGGGAGCCACCTTCCTGCCCGCCGGAGGAGCCCTGCCAGCCGGAGCTGTCTTCTATCCTCAAGCACCGCAGAAGTCTTCCTCTGGTTTGGGATTGGGTGAGTTAAAGGCACTCTTTTGAAGTAGAAATCTTTCTTTACCAATATTACTTTTTCTGCAGGTACTGGTCTTATTGCTGGAGCTCTGGGTGGTGCCATCCTGGGTCACGCCCTTACTCCCACTCAAACCCGAGTGGTGGACCATTCCTATTCCGGTGGCGGAGGAGGTTATGGTGGCGGTGGCAACCAAGGTGGCGACGACAAGATCATCATTATCAACAACGGACCGCCTGGATCGGTGACCACCACGGATGTGGGATCGGGCACTACGGTGATTAATGCTGGAGGAGCTCAGCCAGCTGCTTCTCCCTCGCTGCCTGTGCCGCCTTCCTATGCTGCTCCTCCTGCTCCTGGTGCTCAAGCTGCTCCCGTGCCTCCTGCTCCGTCGGCTGCTGGTGGGGTTCCATTGGCGCCCTTGGGTCCATCCCCACCAGCTCCTGCTGATCCATCGGCTCCTGCTCCCGCCCCTGGAACTCCTGTTGCTGCTGGAATTCCTGTTGCTCCTGGAACTCCGGTTGCTCCTGGTTCTCCAGTTGCTCCAGTTGCTGCAAGCCCAGCGGATCCCAATGCCCCAGTTCCACCGACCCCAGGGGCACCAGCTGACCCCAATGCACCACCGGCTGGCCAGATTATTTGCGTGCCCGTAAAGATACCGAAGCCAGATCCGCAGGATCCCACCAAGACGATTGAGGAGGAGCAGATCGCCTGCTATCCGGCACCACCGCCGGAAGCCGCTCCTCCAGCCAATGGAACGGCACCGGCCGTTCAAGAAGCTGTTCCTGCTCCGGTTTCCGCCCCCGGATCCGTTCAACTGGCCCCCCTTCCAAGCCACCACACCCGTGACCATTCCCGAGGGATCTGTGCCCTTGGCCCCCATTATTCCCGGAGGTCAGCCGGACATCATGAAGATGCCAGGTCTAACGCAGGCTCGCTTGTCAGCGGAATCGGGACTGAAGGATGCGCACAGTGTGGCGGAGCGATCCTTTGGGCACTTCAGCCTCATCTCCACGGTGCTGACCCTGATGGTGGCCTTCTGCCTCCACTGAGAACCCATCTCCACATAAGCCCTTCCCCACTCAAGGACGCAGTGTCATTTGCAACCGCAGAGCTTTATCTAATTTATTTCCATTTTGTGGAATACGAGATTCAAATGGATTTGTATGTCTAACCCCCCAGAGGGTTCTTCTTATATATTTTGTAAAAAATCGAATTTTTGATATATACTCGTAGTTCTGTTAGACCTTAAAGTAAGCCACCAATAAATAAATCAAGCTATCAACATTCACAAGTGTCGGTTTCTAAAAGGGGTATTGGGACCTACGGATTTATAAAGCTAGCTTTACAGAGCGACAATTAAATAAAACTTGAATGAAACTAATGATTTTTAATCTTGCTTAAAAAAGGTATTTTTTAATATTTCATTATATGTGCTTTCCTGATGGTACAGTGTTTCAAGTTGATAAATTGACAACTAATACTCTAATATTCCAAAACTAAAAAAAAATGTTATATGATAATACATAATATATTTTTTAAGGTAATACATAGGTAATAATAACATATGCAATATCATTTGAAAACTAGTATTATATGCAAGCTTTTTTTTTTTTAAATCATTTATGAATTTAGTTTAAAATTTTATATTTTTCTTAGCAATAATTTAATTTACACGAATGTGGGGCAAGAAAGTTTTTGGTTCTATGTTAGATAATTTTTTTTTTGAAAGCGTTTGAAGAACAAGTAACTTGATTCAGACGAATCTGTCGTCAGCAAACCGAAGTCAAATTTTTTTTTATTCAACAAGTTTTTTTTTATTATTTTAATTTTTTTCAAACTTAAGTTTAATTCGTAAACTAAAAAAAATGTCTGCACCTTCTTCAGTTCTAAAGATTTTATCTTAATACTTCTAATTCCTTCAAATGAAAACAATAAAACGGTTTAAAAATGTTTGACAAGAACATCCAAAAAAATTTTAAATTTTAAATGTGTGTAGGAAAATAATTAACATTGGATTTATTAAACAAATAAAATTTTTGTTCGTCTTTTAAGCGGTGCGAAAATAACTTTCTTAAATCCATCGAAATAGTATTAAAAACTGAAAACTTTGTATTATTAGTTTGCTTAAAGAAAAAATAAAAATAATAAAATTTTAGTTGTAAAATAACAAAATTACACCTAAAAAATGTTTTTACCTTGTTGAGCACTTTTTAAAAAATATATTAATATTGTGGTATGAAATTCTTTCTGTGTAGTTTTATTTTTAGATTCAACATACATCTTTTTTATAATATTCAATAATGGGTAAGATACAAGCTGCTCAGCTGCTGCTTTGCTCCCCGAAGTCTTCTTCAGAGCAAAACACAAAACGATAGCAATTTTTTGTGGTCAGTTGATCGAGAAACTTTGTACAAACCGAAACAAAATTTGGTGCGCCGGAATAAAGCGAAGTAATTATCAAATATAAAGTGGTTTCCATTTAAAGACAAGGGTGGGGTGCTGACCATCGAAATTAAGAAAATTGTGTCTTCCAAAGCAGACAGCTGCAATATATAATTTGGTGTTGTTTTTTGTTTTTATATGTATACCTTGAGGAAAAAATGCAAATAATAAATTGTGATGAAAATTATACAAATCTGCTCAAGCAACAAATCCGATTCAATGCGTAATTGCTGTACAATAAAACTTTCTAATTTTGATTTTGTAAACTGGATTTTATTTGAATATGTCTCCGATGTATACAGCAAAAACCAAATTAAAATTGATTAGGCATGTGTCATATCTGCAGACTCATTATTGGGCAGCTTTAATTGAATATTTTGTATATAGTAGTCATTTATAAAAACGACCTGTTCAATTTAGGCTAACAAAAAAGGTTTTAGAAATTTGTAATCTTCATAAACATACTCAATTATGTCTTCTTATTTAACTATCTCATTTACAATTTCTTTTATGATACGAAAATAAAATACAGCATGAAAGTTAATTCTTTATAATTATAGAGTTTTTGTTTTTAGATTTGATAAAGATAAGCGATCAATTTATGCCAATTTTTGGTTAAGAGAAAGCAGACTTAAGAGAAACTCATGCAAAGAGATAAGAGTGTTGCGAATTATGCGAGTTTCAGTATATGTACATTTATATATCTCATTAGCTGGTGTTTTTTGCTATAGCTGCTGAACTTGAGGATGCATAAAGAACTCGACGTCACACTGATAAACAAAACACGAACGTATTTATGAGGAAAATTGTTAACCTAAGACCGATTTTGCATTAAAGTGTTTTGTTTCTTAAGGCCAGGTTCCTCTGAAAAACGTACTTTTTTCAATTAATTTTATTTTCATAACAAAAAATGTTGAGTATTCAATTTTTTTATATATGAAAGTATGTATATGAAATTACTAAAAAAAATTTTTTAAATTTTTTTTTCAAAATGGCGGTCCTGAAAATGACTGCTGAAACTCCTCCGAATCGTAGATGGATGACACGATTACTTGAAAAATAATTATCTGAATGCAAAAACCAAAATAGTTTCGTGTTCTGCATCGAAGTAGCTATGGTCGGTACCAGAATGAAAAATTTTCCATGAAAAATAAAAAAATGGCGGACTTTTGAATTTTTTTTAACCCTTTTTTTCACTTATAATTGTTTATAACTTTTTTAAAAAATAATGAATATTTCTGATTCTGGTACCGGCCATAGCCAGACATATTAAGAGTAAAATGCCGTTTGGTTCAAATCGATAAGTGCCATAGTTTTGAAATGAGAGTGTCATCCATGCGAAAAAACGTGGTTCGGAGAAAATTCAGTTTAAAGTTTTTAAGGCGTTCGATCGGCCGTACTACCAGCAGCGCTCCTCACTCTTTTACACCTACTTCTCGGCCTTGCTGACCTTCGGGACTTATTTTATACTATTTCGACAAGTATATAGTAGCAATTTATGAAAAAAAAAAATTTTCATTTTTTCAAAATTGTTGAGAGGAACCTGGCCTTAAGATCGGTACATTGTGTTACCTAATATAAATAATTTTAACTCATTTCAGAATGCTTTTAAACTTAGAGCGGCGCAGTGGCGCCCTGATCGTGGTGCTTTACCTAGTCTTGATCCTAGCCACCGGAGATGTGGATGCCAAATTTAAATTTAGATTGGGAGGAAGAAAGTCCTCCTCGCACTCATCTCATCGGTCCTCATCCCATTCATCCCATTCGTCCTCATCCCACTCTTCTCCTTCTCACTCCTACTCTTCCCACTCGTCGCCTTCTCAGTCCTACTCTTCCCACTCGTCGCCTTCTCACTCCTACTCTTCTCCTTCACACTCGTACTCCTCCCACTCGGATAGTGGGGGACTTTTAGGCGGCCTAACTTTTAGTCGCAGGCACCGCTACCGTGGATCCCACTACAACAACCGCAACCGAAACCACAACAGCACCACTGGTGCAGGAAATACGTATTACAATCCTGAAACACTTCCGCAAGGAGCCACCTATTTGCCCGCAGGATCATCCATGCCAGCAGGAGCCGTTTACTATCCCCAGGCGCCTCAAAAATCTTCCTCAGGCTTGGGATTGGGTGAGTTTGGAGCGAATTAAAAATAATTATAAATACATTATTAATTCATCATTTTAAATACCAAAGTGTTTTTTTTTTTTTTTTGGCAGCCAGAGAATGTTGTTTCATATCCAAATGTGGATATTATCAGAAAATTTTAAAAAATGCGTAATAATAGCCAAAAACGAAATAGCGTTCTAACGTTACTGAAATAATGTGAATAAGAACGAAATACATATAAGAAAAACACAATATCAACACAAATTATATTATTCAACATTAAAATAAGATTCAATGAACATACATATATGTACATATATACATACGAGTCAAATTATAATTCCCTCTGCAAGTCATAATAATTTCCAAGTAAGCACATTACTTACTAGTATGAATCACTTTCTTATAGGCACTGGTCTCGTCGCTGGAGCCGTGGGTGGAGCCATCCTGGGACACGCCCTTACTCCGACTAACACCCAAGTGGTTGGCAGTTCAGCTTCCTCCTCCGGTGGCCACGGAAGTGATACCAAGATCATCGTGATCAACAACGGACCTCCTGGACCAGTGAACACAACTGATCTGGGATCTGGAACTACAGCGATGAATGCAGCAGGAAATCCAGAATCGGTTTCTCCTTTTCTGCCTGTGCCTCCTTCGTATGCAGCTCCCCCGGCACCTCCGACCTCTGAATATCCAGGACTACCAGTTCCCCCAGCTCCACCAGTTCCTTCCCTGGATCCCCTGCTACCAACACCGGCTGATCCATTCACTCCTCTTCAGCCAAATGAAACTCCTATTGCTCCTGGAACTCAGGGTGCTCTTGAATCTTCTGGTCCGCTGGCTGCCTCAGATGCAGTTGTTCCCAGTGCGCCACCTGATGGCCCCCTCATTTGTGCTCCTATAAAAGTGACTCAACCGGATCCAAATAACTCCACTCAGACCGTAGAGGTGGAACAGATCGCCTGCTATCCAGCACCACCACTGCCTCCGGATTACGAAGATATCAGTATATCTGGATCCCAACTGGCACAAAGGACCCTTGGACATTTAACCCTCATCCAGAGCTTGGGGATATTAGTTGCGAGCTACTGTTTTTACTGAAAACCGATACTGCAAACATCTTTATAACCAATTCTTACTTAAAGACGAAGTGCTAACCGGGAAGTCTTTTTTAATGAGTCACATACTTCAAATGGTTTCATTTGCCTGCGATAGCATTTTTAAGAAATGACTCTTAAGAATTTTATATATAATTAATAAAACTTCCTAGATATGTATTTGTTACAGTGGCCCAACAAAAACCTGATAAAAAATATAACCCACGACTTTTATAATTTAATTGAATACTGAGTAGTTAAAAACTCGTAAAAAACGATAGATTTCTATCCAAATACAGGCACGTATTGTTTTGAGTTGTCACCACTTCTTTAAACAACCCAGAACTGAAATTCTGTCCACTAAGTTTACAGTTTAAAGTTACAAGTCATCTTAGTTGCCAATCAGTTGCTACTGGAAACCAATGAAAAGCATTCCATTGAGTGATGGAAAAGAAATAAAATCATGTGCTGAGCGAACGCGACTTGGATATCAAGGCAAATCTGGAGCCCTCTATCCCAGGGGCTTCCCCGATTTCCGATGCCTCAGGAATTTCATCGGGCAAGAAAAAGCCTAGCGTGCAAAAATTCATTTGACAAAAATGAGTTCGCAGCAAGCAATATTTAAAAGTCTTCCCTCTCCTCAAGTTTCAATTCTATTTTACTTGTCACAGTTTTAGGAACATCGAGAAAACAATTACATAAAACCCTAGCTCAAAAGATAACTAGGTAATATGATATATTTCTAACCTGCCCGATCGATAAAATATTCTTGCTAACACTTTTTTAAAAAAAAAGTTGTATGAGTAGCAAAACTTCCTTTCTTTCTTTACAAAGGTAATACAGAACGCTAATTATAATTGTTACCTTAAAATGTGTAAGCTTTTCTTGTCTCAATATTTTAAGCTGTAATTTTTTTAGTTAGCCTTAAAATTAGTTTCGCTAAATCATCGCTCTGACCGCCCATTTGGCTTTTCTTGTAATTCCTAATAATGAGAAATGTGTTTTTTTGGAAGCCCCAAACACTAGCAAAATGTTTTTATTTTGCACGCGCAAACTGCTCTGATAATGGCAAAGCATTATCACCTCAATCCGATCCAGAGGAATATTTAAAAGGCGGGCTGTTTCTTTCTACGATCAGTCGTTCTGAAAACTTAGCACGGAGCAAAATCAAAAATCACTCACGGCAGAAACAGCTATAGAAATAATTCTCATTAAAAGTAAGTTAAATTAACAGAACTATGGTAATACAGGGGTATCTTTAGTCAAGGATTTTAAGGGTTATTCAAATGCAGAATCACTAGAAAAGTTTAAAATATTAAAAACGCTTAATTTAAAATTAAAATAAAGGTCTTTAAATCAAGAGACACTTTAAGTTTTGAGTCCGCCCCTAAGAGAATTCATAAAAAATATTTATAAGAGCAATAAGATTCTTTATGATACGCGTATCCATATTCTTAAAACGAACGTATTTTTTCAATTTGTTTAGATAAATTAATGTTTACTTATATTGCTACATTGCTAAACCACAGGACTTAAATATATAATAGCTTTTACTTAATCCAAATAATAATCAAAATAAAAAATATAAATAAAAGTAAGTAATTGAATAATTGGATCCATTTCAGAATGAAGACACTGCGAAAATGGTTCAGTCCCAGCCTGATGGTGTTACTGCTCCTGGTGTTGGCCTTAAACACGGAGATCGCCGTTGGAAAGTCTTATGGCAGCAGTCGCAGTAGCTCAAGTTCCAGTTCCCGATCCAGCTGGAGTCCCAGTTCCAGTTCCAGATCCAGTTCGAGTTCCAGTTTTGGTTCCAGATGGTCTTCCTCGAGGTCCTACAGTCCGCCATCTTATTCGTCCCTCTTTTCGTCCTCCTCGAAGCCAAAGCCCCCTCCCTCGTACTTTAGTATTGGAAGCTCACACGATTCACCTAAAGGACCTCCCCCGGCCTACTCAGCCTCGAATCCTGTGGGCGGAGCTCGGACCAACATGCACGAGAGTCCGCCGAGCTACAAATCCGAATCGGTTACCAAGAGAGCTCTAAAGAAGCTATCGGGTTCCAGTTCTTGGCGAAACTCTGACATTCCCAGCAGTTCCATATTCTCCAGTGACGAGGATTCTAACGATAAATTTCAAGAGCTACTCAACGCAATTGCTGAAATCAAATACGAAGAACCCACGGACAACTATGAAGATTTACACGAGGAATCCACGGACAACTATGAAGAGCTGCTCAATTCTGCTGCAATTGCTCACTCTTCTTTCCACGGATACCTAGGAATAATCTCCACTGTAGTCTGCTTAAGCTCGTTGTTATTGTAATCAACATTTGAACTCATAATAAATTTGCATCCGAAAAAGCTAATTTACCCTATATTAATTTTTATGGAAGAGAACAATTTGGACTGTAATCGGTTGCGGTGTAAAATTTGTAATAAATAAGATAACTATTGGGATATCATTATTTTTTCCCAAATCAATAAACAAAATGCGTGTTTAAGTTCACCTTTTTGCATAAATATGTGTTTCATACGTAGAAGCTAATGGCAAAAAAAACAAGGAAAAACGATTAAGCCGAGTCAGATCAAGGTTGCTCCAATAAAATTACAATCAACTCACTAAATGAATTCGCATGATATTAATCAATGCTTTTCAAAGCAGGTGTTGCGATAAATATTTTTGGGCAAAGAAAAGGCGTGATCTACTTATCAAAAACAAGAATCTTTAATCCTTACTTTTTAGCAGTTTAGTTTAGTTCTTAAGATTTCAACAATTAAATAAATTTAGTTAATTTTTCGCTTGCTTTGATAAAACTCAAAGTTCTATTGCTTATCAATACAATTGAAAAAATGTATTACTAAGCTCAACAGATTGCAATGCATTGAAGAAAATACGTCAAGCCCCTAAAGGTACGAGAATATAAATATTGCTTTTCAGCAGTCTGTTTTGTCGGACAAGCCAAGATACGAAACGATTATCTGTTTCTGTTTAAAATATTTTCAAAGGACATGAAATTTCAAACCAGTCATAGGAATGACTGACTAATGACAATATTTACATAATAAGCTAAAAAAGTCAACTTTATGTTGTTTCAAAACATATTTAATACGAATTATTAGTTAGGCAGAATAGAAATTATGATTGTTTTACTTTGATTTCCCCGAATTACGATTCAGCTGCGTACTTTCTACTTTTGTCGTCACAACATTATGAATGGGAATCTCAAAATTCTGGGCTCTGAAAATGAAATTTCTTATCATAGTTTCTTTACTTATAATTCGCATTCAATTTAAAAGTAATAGTAAAGCTTGTTTACTGATAACAAAATACGCTATTAGAAGAGGGTTTTTTGACAAACCTTAAACTAAATTTTAAATTAACTGACATTTACATTATTAAATTGAAAAAAAGTTATTTTCCGCCCTTAAAAATAAAATACAATATAGTAAACAAAACCACCCTGTTGGTTTATTTAAAATTTTGAAAACATTTTTGGCATAAAAGAACATAACGATATTTATGTTTTGTACAATAGTGGTGTCATTCCCACAAATTGACAATTTTTCGTTTTTTTTAGCCGCCAAAAATTAAAAATATCCATGGTTTTTTATTTTTAAAAAATTTACAAGATTTTGTATTTTGAAACTTTAAACTGCAAACTGTTTTTTCCAAATACAATCTTAAATATAAAATCTAAATAAAATAAATTTATTTATCTATATCGAAAAAATCTTTTTTCTCCATAATACCCGTATTGTTTTATATAATATATATATAAATATATAAATATTCTTGGTCAGAAACTTTTGACGAGCCGATCTATCGGTGGGATCTCGAAAACTATAAGAGATAGAATATTGGGATTAATTTGTGTATACTTCTAATTCGTATACAGCACAAGTTTGTTAAGTTATTGGGGCGCACGCAGTTTTCATGTCACAACAATTGGGATCGTAAGCTTGGATACTTACTCATGAATACGCAACAAAATGCGTTTTTTTTTTTTATCTGCCACGCCTTATTTTACGCCCACAAGCCGCGTAACTATGTGGCGCCCACAATTTGAATGACAGCTTTATTTAAGTTTTCTACACCAAAATTTTACTTCCATTCTCCTTGGAGGCGTGTTCGCCTTTTCTTTTAACTAAGCATGCAGATTCTAAAAGTGAGTACGAAGCGAAAGTGATTTATTATAATTTAAAAAAAATGAAAAAGGGAGGTCTTTTCATCTGTTAATTAAGTTGTCAAAATATTTACAGTACAACTTGCCTTACCGCTTCTGGCTTTCCCGTTAAATCTGTATTATGCGAAATCGTTTGGTTTATGACTCCAGCGTCAATAGACACATTTTTGGTTTCGCACGCTTCCGCTGCTCTGATAATAGCTGAGCATTATCACCGAAATCCGATCCAGAGGAATATTTAAAAGGCGGGCTGTTTCTTTCGTCGATCAGTCGTTCCGAAAACTTTGCACAGAGCCAAATCAAAAATCACTCACGCCAGAAACAACTAAAGAAATAATTCCCACAAAAAGTAAGTGAAAAATACAAAACTATATTAAAACAGAGGTATCTTTGCCAAGTTTTTTTAAGACTTATTCAAATGTAGAATAACTTGAAAAGTTACAATATTAAAAAAGGTTTATTTTAATAATAAAATAATATAAAATAAAAATAAAATATAAAAGATATTACTTAATTCATATAATATTCCAAATAATAAATATAAATAATAGTAAATATTTGAATAATTCGATCCATTTCAGAATGAAGACACCCCGGAAACGGTTCAGTCCCAGCCTGATGGTGTTGCTGCTCCTGGTGTTGGCCTTAAATACGGAAATTGCCGTTGGAAAGTCCTATGGCAGCAGTCGCAGTAGCTCAAGTTCCAGTTCCCGATCCAGTTGGAGTCCCAGTTCCAGTTCCAGATCCAGTTCGAGTTCCAGTTTTGGTTCCAGTTGGTCGTCCTCGAGGTCCTACAGTCCGCCTTCTTATTCTTCCCTCTTTTCGTCCTCCTCGAAACCAAAGCCTCCTCCCTCGTACTTCAGCTTCGGAAGCTCAAACGATTCACCCAAAGGACCTCCCCCGGCCTACTCAGCCTCGAATCCTGTGGGCGGAGCTCGGACCAACATGCACGAGAGTCCGCCGAGCTACAAATCCGAATCGGTTACCAAGAGAGCTCTAAAGAAGCTATCGGGTTCCAGTTCTTGGCGAAACTCTGACATTCCCAGCAGTTCCATATTCTCCAGTGACGAGGATTCTAACGATAAATTTCAAGAGCTACTCAACGCAATTGCTGAAATCAAATACGAAGAACCCACGGACAACTATGAAGATTTACACGAGGAATCCACGGACAACTATGAAGAGCTGCTCAATTCTGCTGCAATTGCTCACTCTTCTTTCCACGGATACCTAGGAATAATCTCCACTGTAGTCTGCTTAAGCTCGTTGTTATTGTAATCAACATTTGAACTCATAATAAATTTGCATCCGAAAAAGCTAATTTACCCTATATTAATTTTTATGGAAGAGAACAATTTGGACTGTAATCGGTTGCGGTGTAAAATTTGTAATAAATAAGATAACTATTGGGATATCATTATTTTTTCCCAAATCAATAAACAAAATGCGTGTTTAAGTTCACCTTTTTGCATAAATATGTGTTTCATACGTAGAAGCTAATGGCAAAAAAAAACAAGGAAAAACGATTAAGCCGAGTCAGATCAAGGTTGCTCCAATAAAATTACAATCAACTCACTAAATGAATTCGCATGATATTAATCAATGCTTTTCAAAGCAGGTGTTGCGATAAATATTTTTGGGCAAAGAAAAGGCGTGATCTACTTATCAAAAACAAGAATCTTTAATCCTTACTTTTTAGCAGTTTAGTTTAGTTCTTAAGATTTCAACAATTAAATAAATTTAGTTAATTTTTCGCTTGCTTTGATAAAACTCAAAGTTCTATTGCTTATCAATACAATTGAAAAAATGTATTACTAAGCTCAACAGATTGCAATGCATTGAAGAAAATACGTCAAGCCCCTAAAGGTACGAGAATATAAATATTGCTTTTCAGCAGTCTGTTTTGTCGGACAAGCCAAGATACGAAACGATTATCTGTTTCTGTTTAAAATATTTTCAAAGGACATGAAATTTCAAACCAGTCATAGGAATGACTGACTAATGACAATATTTACATAATAAGCTAAAAAAGTCAACTTTATGTTGTTTCAAAACATATTTAATACGAATTATTAGTTAGGCAGAATAGAAATTATGATTGTTTTACTTTGATTTCCCCGAATTACGATTCAGCTGCGTACTTTCTACTTTTGTCGTCACAACATTATGAATGGGAATCTCAAAATTCTGGGCTCTGAAAATGAAATTTCTTATCATAGTTTCTTTACTTATAATTCGCATTCAATTTAAAAGTAATAGTAAAGCTTGTTTACTGATAACAAAATACGCTATTAGAAGAGGGTTTTTTGACAAACCTTAAACTAAATTTTAAATTAACTGACATTTACATTATTAAATTGAAAAAAAGTTATTTTCCGCCCTTAAAAATAAAATACAATATAGTAAACAAAACCACCCTGTTGGTTTATTTAAAATTTTGAAAACATTTTTGGCATAAAAGAACATAACGATATTTATGTTTTGTACAATAGTGGTGTCATTCCCACAAATTGACAATTTTTCGTTTTTTTTAGCCGCCAAAAATTAAAAATATCCATGGTTTTTTATTTTTAAAAAATTTACAAGATTTTGTATTTTGAAACTTTAAACTGCAAACTGTTTTTTCCAAATACAATCTTAAATATAAAATCTAAATAAAATAAATTTATTTATCTATATCGAAAAAATCTTTTTTCTCCATAATACCCGTATTGTTTTATATAATATATATATAAATATATAAATATTCTTGGTCAGAAACTTTTGACGAGCCGATCTATCGGTGGGATCTCGAAAACTATAAGAGATAGAATATTGGGATTAATTTGTGTATACTTCTAATTCGTATACAGCACAAGTTTGTTAAGTTATTGGGGCGCACGCAGTTTTCATGTCACAACAATTGGGATCGTAAGCTTGGATACTTACTCATGAATACGCAACAAAATGCGTTTTTTTTTTATCTGCCACGCCTTATTTTACGCCCACAAGCCGCGTAACTATGTGGCGCCCACAATTTGAATGACAGCTTTATTTAAGTTTTCTACACCAAAATTTTACTTCCATTCTCCTTGGAGGCGTGTTCGCCTTTTCTTTTAACTAAGCATGCAGATTCTAAAAGTGAGTACGAAGCGAAAGTGATTTATTATAATTTAAAAAAAATGAAAAAGGGAGGTCTTTTCATCTGTTAATTAAGTTGTCAAAATATTTACAGTACAACTTGCCTTACCGCTTCTGGCTTTCCCGTTAAATCTGTATTATGCGAAATCGTTTGGTTTATGACTCCAGCGTCAATAGACACATTTTTGGTTTCGCACGCTTCCGCTGCTCTGATAATAGCTGAGCATTATCACCGAAATCCGATCCAGAGGAATATTTAAAAGGCGGGCTGTTTCTTTCGTCGATCAGTCGTTCCGAAAACTTTGCACAGAGCCAAATCAAAAATCACTCACGCCAGAAACAACTAAAGAAATAATTCCCACAAAAAGTAAGTGAAAAATACAAAACTATATTAAAACAGAGGTATCTTTGCCAAGTTTTTTTAAGACTTATTCAAATGTAGAATAACTTGAAAAGTTACAATATTAAAAAAGGTTTATTTTAATAATAAAATAATATAAAATAAAAATAAAATATAAAAGATATTACTTAATTCATATAATATTCCAAATAATAAATATAAATAATAGTAAATATTTGAATAATTCGATCCATTTCAGAATGAAGACACCCCGGAAACGGTTCAGTCCCAGCCTGATGGTGTTGCTGCTCCTGGTGTTGGCCTTAAATACGGAAATTGCCGTTGGAAAGTCCTATGGCAGCAGTCGCAGTAGCTCAAGTTCCAGTTCCCGATCCAGTTGGAGTCCCAGTTCCAGTTCCAGATCCAGTTCGAGTTCCAGTTTTGGTTCCAGTTGGTCGTCCTCGAGGTCCTACAGTCCGCCTTCTTATTCTTCCCTCTTTTCGTCCTCCTCGAAACCAAAGCCTCCTCCCTCGTACTTCAGCTTCGGAAGCTCAAACGATTCACCCAAAGGACCTCCCCCGGCCTACTCAGCCTCGAATCCTGTGGGCGGAGCTCGAACAAACATACACGAGAGACCGCCGAGCTACAATTCCGAATCGGTTACCAAGAGAACTCTAAAGAAGCTATCCGGTTCCAGTTCTTTCCGAAGCTCTTACATTCCCAGCACTTACTCATTCTCCAGGAATTGGGACAGTGATGAGGATTCCGACGAAAAGTTTAAAGAGTGGCTCGATTCAATTACAGGATCAAACGAGGAATCCACGGACAACTATGATGACCTCCTCAATTCTGCTGCAATTGCTCGCTCTTCTTTCCGTGAATACCTAGGGATAATCTCCACTGTAGTCTGTTTATACTCGTTGGTATTGTAAACAGCATTTAAAAACATAATAAATGAGCATCAGAAAAACTAAATTTACATGATCTTAATTTTTTTGTTGGAAAATAATTTGGACTTTGATTGTATATATTGTGTTGTATATGCAACAAATAAGATAACAGTCATTAGTATTTTAACCAAGACGACATGATACAAAAAATACTTGTTAAACTGAACCTTTTTTCATAAATATGAGTTTGATTCGCATGAACTACTGGCAATAAAAACAGGCAAAAAATTATATAGTCGAGTCAGTATAAGGTTACTTAAATGAAAAATATTAATATTAATATTAATATTATTGCTGTATTTTCGAAACTTTTGTTGCGATATAATTTCTCCGACTTTGGGCATAAAATAGGGCATGAGCTGTGTATCAGAAACAAGAATCTTTAATTCTAACTATCAAGCATGTATACCTACTTTTTGAGATCTCAACATTAATACTGGTGACAATTAAATCAATTAAATTAATTGTAAGATTTTTTTCGATATAGCTTAGATTTTAGAGGCTCGAAACCTAAACCCAAAGTTCTTCCACTTATTAAGATAGTTGAAAAAAGGTTTAAATAGGCACAACAGATTTTAACGCATTGAAGGAAATACTTCACGCCAAAAAAATACGAACGAAAAGCGGATATTTTGGAGCAGTTATAGAAATTTTAGGAAAACTAACGGACAATATTTACATAAAAAACATACTTTTTGTTGATTCAAGACATATCAAATAAGCATTAAGTCGGGTTCAGTATGGCAGAATAGAAATAACGTTTGTTTTTCTTTGATTTCCCCGAATTATGATTCAGCTGCGTACTTTCTCATTTTGCCGTCACAACATTATGAATGGGAAGCTCAAAATTCTTGGTTATTAAACTGAAATTTCTTATCAGTTTCTTTACTTATAATTCATTCAATTTAAAAGTGATAGTAAAGGTAGTTTACTGATAACAAAATATGCCAATAAAAGATTTTTTGGCAAATTTTACACTAAATTAATTTAATTTAAAAATTTAATTAAATATATGAAACGTATAATTAAAATTTCAGCTATAAAGTATAGTACTCCTTAAGGGGAAGGGGAGGGATCTTTACATACGAAAATAGATTTTTCTTAAAATTTTAAGCCGATAAACATTAAACAAATAAAGTACTTCTCCAACGATTATTAAATTTTTCTGTACAAGAGTCGTATTTTTATACCCTGCAGAGCAAAGGGTATCATAATATCAGTCAGAAGTTTGCAACGCAGTGAAGGAGACACCTCAGTCCCCATAAAGTATATATGTATATTCTTGATCAGCATCACGATCAGAATCCAAATCCATCTGTACGTCTCTCAGTTTTAAAGCTATCTTGCTGAAACTTTCCCAAAAGTTGTGAAGTTATTGCACGCAGTATATAAGTTGGAACGGGCCGGATCGGCCGACTTTGTCGGATAGCTCCCATAAGAGAGAATGAAATAAAAAATTCTCCAACAGTTGTTTTTGATCAGATCGATTTAATTTTTCCATATGTCATTTTCTAACTACTATTAAATTTCCGATTCAATTTTGTCAAAATTGGAAAACTCTATCATATAGCTGCCATAGGAAAGATCGAAAAATATATATATAAATAATGGAAAAAAATTATAACGTCGTTGTTTTTAATCCCACGAGCATGATTTTTAAAATATGGAGTTTTTTAATAACCCTTGAATCGAGAAAAAAATTTCATTAAAATGCGACAACGTTATCATTTAGTTGTCATAGGAAAGATCGAGCAATCTGTATAGAAATATGGAAAATAAAATTATAACATCGTTGTTTTTCATCAGACAATCATGATTTTTTTAATATAGAGTCTAACGACTCTTGCATTACACATTAAATTTCATCAAAATCGGACGACTATATCATATAGCCGTCATATGAACAATAGTCGAAAATATGGAAAATAAATAGAAAAATCGTTATAGATTCGATGTTGTTCAGCCTTTATGTGTTTTGTTCGGCATATTTGATGACTGCAAGGGTATATACATAATTCCTTTCTTGTTTCCTTTCTTGTTTCAATATTGACTTTGTTACGCACTTATACGGAGCGAAAGAAGTTAAAAGAAGAGTTTTTTATAATTATTTCAAAGAAAAGTAAATCGAATTTTGTTTACATTATTTAATTTAGTTCTCTAAATATTTGAAGCTATACTTTATTTAATCAGCCCTTAAAACAGATTCGCTATATTTTCTGCCTGATCGCCTATCTGGCTTTCCTTGTAATTCGTTATAATGTGAAATGTGTTTTTTTTGTGACCCCAACGATAATAGTAATGCAATATCAGCGCAATCCGACGCAGAGAGATACGTACTTAAAAGGCGGGTTATTTTATTCTTCAATCAGTCGTTCAAAAAACTTGGCACGGAACAATATAAAAAAATACTTACGACAGAAACAACGAGAGAAATAATTCTCACAAAAGTAAGTCAAATTTACATAAATAAGGAAAAACAAAGTCAACCCTTTAAAGCTTATTAAAAGCAGAAGCACTAAAAATATAAGCCCTTTTAAAATAGTTTAACAAAAAAATAATTTAAATTAAAAAGACTAAGTTTTGAGCCTGCTTTAAGATAAGTCATAAAAAAATTGATAAGGGCCCTACAATTCTCTTATTTTAGAACTCGAACGTATTATTTTGACTTGTTTCAATTACGTATATTGCAGCAGATTTTAAAAGCGCAAGATCCTAAGGCACATAATTTAAAAATATAATACCTATTACTAAATAAAAATAATAACTGTCTTGACCCGTAGCCATGGTTTTATAAGGTTACTAGTTCATAGTTGTAGGTTTCTATTTTCGTGAATTTTTTCAAAGAGCCTGCGATATTTTTACCATGTTTGTTTATTGAATATTAATATATAATATTTCAACTACAGTCTGTAGAATTTTTAAAAGAAAATATTAAAAAACGAGCCGTTGAGAATGCCTGAATGTTGACCATATGAAAAATAGTGGCCTGGCGGTTCAAAAATCCAAATTTTTTGAGTGTATGTGTCTGACTTGTCTTTGAACGAAGGATTTTTTTTATTACAGATTAAATTTTTATAACGTTTTTATATAAAAAATAGTGTTGTTTTTTACATTTTGACCCTATTTCGTCGTATAAATTAAGTTGAAACTAATAAAAATCCTTCGTTCAACGACAATAAAACATGTCTAAAAGAAGTGTGCAAAAGGAAGCGTCGATCGATGCAATAGTTTTCGAAAAAATTTGACTACCGACTTCAAAAAAGTTGTTTTGAGAAAAACGCGTTCAAAGTTTTAAACCCTTTGAAACACTCTGGAAAACTCGCGCTTTAAATTTCCCCATTTTTACAGTTTTCCTCCGATCGACTTGAAATTTTCGGACAACATTCCTTACACTTTTTACTAATATATAACAAATTTTGAAAGAAAAAAATTTTTTTGAAAAGTCAAGAGTAGGATAACCCCTTAACCTTTCGAAATTGATTTCGGAAAGAGGGAAAGTTATAATGTGGGTGTAAGGCTCTGGTTCTCATTCTTATTTAAATTTATAGTATCATTGAAGAAACTAGTGTATCTATTGTAAATAATTGAATGTTGGGTCCTTTTCAGAATGAAGACATCCCTGATCGTATTGCCGCTCCTGGTTTTGGCCTTAAATACGGAGATTGCCGTAGGAAGGTCCTATGGAAGTCGTCGCAGTAGCTCAAGTTCGAGTTCAAGTTTCAGATCCAGTTGGAGTCCCAGCTTCAGTTCCAGATCCAGTTCGAGTTCCAGTTTTGGTTCCAGTTTGGGATCTAGGCTTAGTTCCAGTTCTGGCAGCGGGATCGCCTCAAGATCCAACAATCTGCCTTCTTATTCCTCCCTCTTTAGTTCGTTTTCGTCCTTCTCGAGGACAAATCCTCCTTCCTCGTACTTAAATATCGGAGGCTCACTCGATTCACCCAAAGCCGACTCCGCCCCGTATCCCCGGGATGAAGCTCAGACCAACATACGCAAGAATCCGCTCACCTACAAATCGGAATCGGCCACCATGGAAAATCTGACGGGCAAACTCGGCTCCAATTATTTCCGAAGCTTTCACATTCCCAGCAGTAACCCATTCTCTATGGGGAGGGACAGTGACAATGATTTCAACAAAAACTTTGAAGAGTGGCTCAATTTAGTTGCGGATTCACACAAGGAATCCACCAGGTCATCGCTCAATTCTATTCCTCTTTTTAAGGATACCTAGGGGTAATCTCCACTGTACTCTGTTTAAGCTCGTTGTTTTTGTAAACAATATTTGAACCCAAAATATATTTACATCAATTTACCAGATGTTCATTTTTTTTGGGTAGAACAGTTTAGACTTTGATTGTTTGTGTGTAACATTTTAAATCATTAATATTACATATAAAGTATATATATTTATAGAATTTTGACCAAGTCTACGTGCATTGAATGAGCTACAATCCTTAAATCGGACGATAATTGCAATTAAACCTGGGAAAATCGATATAGTCGAGTGTAAATCAGGTTACTCGGATGAGAAAATTCAAACAACTTTTCAAATTTTTAGAACCACTGTCCTTACCATTTGTATCTGCATGATTAATAACAGTACTGTATTTTCAAAACTGGGGTGGCAATATAATTTTTTCCGTTTCTAGGCATTAAAAACGCAAGGGATAAAACCTACTTATAAGACCATTCCAACTTAAGCCTAAAGTTCCCATATTTATAAACTCAATTAACAAAATGTGATACCTAGCGCTACAAATTGCTAACATTAAAGAAAACCCTCTAGGCCCCATAAGATATACATATTCTTAGTCAGGAGTCTGTTTCTTTGGATAATTCAAACTACAAAACGTATCTCTGTCTAGAATTTCTCATAAGTCATGAAACAAGTATTTCATGTCAGTAATAGGAATTTCGGGAAAACTAATCGATAATATATATTTACTTGTTGTTTTTTCATCTAAAATACGAATAAAATTAGGTTCAGTTTATCATAATAGCTTTATTATTATTTTTTTTTTCCCCCGAATTACTTTTCAAATGCGCACTTTCTGGCTTGTACGTCAGAATATTTAAATGGGAAGCTCAAAATTGTGGGTTCCTAATCTAAAATTTCTTATCATGTTTCGTTTACTTATAATTTGCATTTAATGGTAAATGAGTAGAGCTAATTTAATGATAACTAAATATGTCATTACTCAATTTTTTATTTAACCAATTTTAGTTTAATAAATGAATTTTTACATTTCTAACCATAAACTACTAACTTCTGGTTGGTTTAAAACTCTATTAACTTTCAACCAAAAAGAGATGACCATGGTGGTGACAAAAGAGAACATATATACTAGAATATATGGTCTTCTATAGTGCCTTGGAATTTCTGGATGATATTATCATTCACATTGCATGAATATAAGGCATGAGCAATTTGTTCAGCACTTCAGTCGTCTGAGATATATTTATGGCACAACTCGCAGTCGCCAGAATTAACGATCGGATTTCAAATTAAACGGAAGTAAAAACGAAAGTAAGAAAAGATTCTAGTGTAAATGGTGACCCAAAACTACGTTGGAAGGAAGCGCACATGAATCATTAAAAATATTTCTTATCAAATTCGACTTTACCCCATACTTTGTTAATGAAACAAACATAAATCCAAAAAAAATAGCATGAGTCATGTACACAGTTTACTTTGTTGTTGCTCTAACAATTTGTCGTCCAACTAAAAAAAAAAAATGTTTAACTAATTAAAAACAAAAATGTTTAATTTTTAACAAATAATATCAATTTCCTCGACCATTCGACTAATCTTGATAAAGTGATTATGACAGTGGGTGAATAAGTTCACTTTTGCTGATTTAACTTAACACAAAAGTGAGACTTTTTGTCGTCCATTAGATAAGCTCAAGTATATTAAATTAAATCCATTGCAGAATGTCGCTTCACTCGTCCGCATTTAATGGCAGGCTGCTGGTGATGCTGCTTTTACATGTGGCCATAACAAATGGATATGTGCATGTCAGGAATCGCGGTAGAGAAACCTATCCGAATAATGAAGGCCCGAGCAACTGGGATAGACCTCTATCCCCACCAAGCAGTTTTTATAATTTCCAGTATCCATTGGCACCCGCCAATCCGATTGGCTGGAATCCTTTTATGATTCCCCGAAGACCTCCGCTGGCGAGTTTAGAACCGTTTCCGTATCCGGTGGGCGGACTTTTTCCGCAAATCTACATTCCACAAGGACCTTATCCCAGAGTTCCTCAACCAGGAGCCACCTTCTTGCATTCAAAGCCCAAAGTTGGTTTGCCAGTTGGTGAGTTGCTACCAAATCCAATTTATTAACATTAAAATTTAAAAATCTTATATTCTAAAGGATCAGATATTGGTAATACAAAACCCAGAAAGGATAGACCCAGGAATTTCAATAGAACTCCGATTGTTTCTCCGATTCCTGGTCCCCGTATTTGTGTTCCTTTAAAAGATGAAAACGCCAAAGGGAGTTTAGATGTAGAATGGGTCGATTGCTATCCAGCACCGCCAAAGGAAAAAAATCAGATCGGTTCAACTGGCTCCCAACTGGTAAACCAAACCTTAGGAAATTTCAACTTGATCGTCTGGACTATAATTGTGACCAGCTATTTTCACTGAAAACCGACTATACAACGAAGCTCACCCATATTTCTCAACTAGAGGGCCTGTGTCCGCTTCGCTGGTCAACACAATTTAACAACATAATAATCCATGTTGCAACCTTTTTCAAATATATGGAAGTATAGAAAGATGGTGATTTAACACTTTTCCAGTTTGACTTTTCCACTTGCGCAGCACAATCCAGCCGTTTCTCTTTTAAACCTTAACGCACTGCAATATCGGTATATAGTCGCCATTGGTCCAATATCTAAATTTTCATTATCACTGTAGTTCGCAGTGGGGTCATATTGGAATGCCATGCGATTGAATGATGCCAATGATCTCCATGTGCTCATTTGTCTTTCTTCGCTTAAGTTTTGTGAATATACTGGCTGCTGGCTTGGATGTCTGCGGCCAATGTTTGCACGTCGTCCTCTAAGCATTTTGGACTATGGACAGAGTGGTGAATTTATTCTCAAATGCACGATCCACATAATTTTCACAGTTCAACTTAAATTGAATAAAAATTCTTTTTTTTTCACAATATCAAAGTGAACACAAAAATTGAGTTAAAATGCTATGGGAGCGTGTTTGTCAGTGTGATGAGGTAGCAACTCACTTTATATGCGACAATATTGCAATTTTCTTACGGATCCCTAATTTTTTTCAAAATAAATTATAGCCTATTTAACTCCACGATAATATAGCATTCTATCGGTGAAAGAATTTTTTAAATCGGACCAGTAGTTCAGGAGCCTATTCCCTGCAAACAAACAAACAAACAAACAAACAAACAAACAAACAAACAAACAAATTTTACCTCTTTATAATATTAGTATAGATTAAGGAGGCATAGCAGTATTATCAACCCTAAAGCATTTTTAGTATACTATCTTATAAACATAGAGTATACACAACTTAAAATAAATGTGACCTGAAGTTTGTTTCTTAACTTAAAACTTTAATTTACAGGTAAAATTGAACTCATTAGAATACAAAAGTTGTAGTTATACTAGTCTTATATTTAGCTTATAATAACTCAAAAATTGTTCCAAAGATGGAAGGAAAGTAAAATTCTATATCAAGAATCCCATGTTTTGTTAAAAATCTATAAGTTCAAAAAATCAACCCAAAAAAACGATACATCGATAAAAATATTAAAAGATTAACGGAACTGCGATGCTAAGAGTTGTCACCTGGTTACCCTGAAACAACCCTGAGTTGATTTTATGTCATCAAGTTGACAGATGAAACTTGCAAGTCACCTTAGCTGTCAACCAAAATCATTCTGAAAGTCCGTAAAAACTTTCTCCCAAGCAATGGACAAAAAACCGAATTATGTGCTGAGCGAACGCGACTTGGATATTAAGGCAGATATGGCGTTCGTGGACAGTCTTTTAAAGGACCTTCGACTGGAGGTGGAGCCACGGGCTCGTGGCCTAATCCTAGATCTGGCTTACAGTGAGTTCAGACCTAATATAAAAGGAGGAGTTTACCTAACACTCCCGAATATTTAGCTTTGGCAAGGGACAAGCTCGTTGAGGCCCAGCGTTTTGCAAAGCTGGCAAACCACTCGAACGTGTCGGTCGAGGATCTGGAGATGGCCCACCTGGAGCGGACAGAGGAGCTCAGGAGGAGACCCCTCCAGCAGCTGATGAAGTCCCTGGTTCCCGGCCAGCCCACCCTGCCCATGCCGAGCATAAGCCATGGCCTAATGCTGCCAGCCTGGCGTCAGTGCCAAGTGGGAGCGACTCCCGAGCTGAAGGGCGGAGCCTCTGATACCACCCAACCGAACCCGAGGATCGGATTGCCCCTTAATCCGGGTGCTCCTGTTGCGGAAGTAGTGGGTCCTACTTCTAACAGCTCTTCGGTTCCAGCTCGTGCTGCTCCGCTTTCCAAGCCTCGTGCCGGGGTCTTAAATCAAAGTCAATCCGTGACTTGTTTCTCCTCTTCTGGAGTTCCTGGTGGAACCACTCGACCCACTGCAGTTCGTCCAGCCATAAATGCTCCACCTTATAAAGCTGTCAGTGGGAAGTCAGTGGTAGCATCTAAACCATTCAAGTCCTCGATCGCAGGGACCTCCTCCAATTCCTCTGCTTCTCAACCTGGGGGAATTCAGCCCGCAAAAAAGAAGTCACGCATGCATAAATAAAGTCTACACAAATCACTAATAAGAATTAGTGAACAATAAGTAATAAATAATAAGAATAGTGAATATATATCTTTCAGCATTGCATATTTCTTGTTCTAGTGGGCTTGTTCTAATTTTATAGAACAAAACGACCAATTCGATTTTGCGTTCAGTGAAAGGTCGGTTTTATTTGTTAATATGACATTGAATATAGATTTGATGCGTGTTTAACTTAATTCAATCTTCGCTGCCGTTCATGAAGTCATCAATGCCCTTCTGGAAATCCTCCCTGAAGCGGTTGTAGTAGAAGGGCACGTGAACGCCCAGGGTGGTGAACGTCTTCTTGACCGACTCGTTCCAGGCATCCACCATGGACTCCTGCCAGGGCTTCACCCCCTTATCCCTGTCGCAGTTCTCGCACCGCCAGCAGCAGAACCGGTTCATCATGTTCTCCGACACGGGCTTCACTTCCCTTTTCACTTCATCCAGGAGATCCTGCGAGTGACCGGCACTATCCCAGAATCCCAGCTCCTGGGTGCCATAAACCACACCGGCCACAATTGCCAGTCGGATGAGGAAGAAAGCCATTCGATGGCGGTGGATCACAAAAATTTTGATTTGTCCAAATTTTGGATCTATTTTTTCAAATATTTTGACAAAAGTGTTCAGTGTAAAAGAAAAGGGAAGTCAATGAAAAAATATTTAAAACATTTTAGGCCATGTTTCAATTACTCTTTGATTTATTTATTTCGGTACTGCATTCGTTTTTTTTTAGGTGTACCTTTTGATTGGATACTAAAACAAGATTCTTGAATCTCCAATTCTATTTTGTCTACTTTTTTTATCAGATTGTCTTGTTGTTTCTTCAGTTGTTTTACATCATTCCGCTTCATCAGCACTAATTTCTTCGTTTGATCGAAGTCAGCTAACAACTTGGGATACGATTTTAGGCCACTTTTGAAGCGAGCCTGTTGGATTTTGGCCCGAAGTTTGTTGTGTAGTACATTGCTCTCGTGAACTCGATCACGCAACGCCAAAAGTTGTCCTCGCCTTTCAAGCAGCTCGACTTTGGCTACCCGAAACTTTTGACCTAGCAACTTGCGTCTGCATCTCATATGTGAAATTGTGTGAATTTTGTTTTTGACCAGGGTATACATTCGGTTCAGCTCTTCGTTTCTATCTGCAAGAATAAAGATGGTAATTAGATTAAAACGGAGTTGGTTAACTCGTTATTTATGCAATAATAAATAGTTTCGTCGATCTAGACAAGTCTGCTTGACTGTCCGTATCAACGTATCAACAAAATAAGCAAATCAATCAAATTGTTCGAATGACTTTCTTGTTGCTCGTTGATATACTTACTATGCAAAGTATTTGCCAAATCCTGAACACCTTGTTCGGTGGAAAGATACGTATCTATTTTTACCTCTCCAGATAGGGTATCTGTGTTATTGATTTTCTGCGAAATAACATTTAAGGTCTTTTTCTAAGCTAGTTACTATAGGTAACTATTACCTTCTTAATGTATGCATAGTTGTGCTGCTTTACGATCAAAACTGTGCGCGTCTCAGAGATTGCATCGCGCTTTTTCCTCATTTGTCGTAGGAGCCCTTCGGTAACCTAATAAAATGTTCAAATAGCTTTTAAAAGTATTATTTCATATACAAGGTTTTTCTTTATGATAATAATTACGCTACCTAAATATTTTATATAAATATTTTTCTACGCCGATTGTATCCGGGTAACTTTGAAATGCACACAAATAGTTTTTCTTACTCCTTTACCCGTTACCAATTAATTGTTACCAAAGTTTTAGTCTGTTTTTGTAAAAAGACTTACATTTTGAAGGCGATCTGAAGGTGCGGCACGACCATAAATGGTGTTTCTGAATAGCTTCTCCAGCCGTTCGAATTGTTCAGTTTCCTCAGATTTTTTCTGCTCGAACTCCGTGTTCAGTCGATCCCTTTCCGCCAGAAGGAGTTCCTCGGCCTCCCGTTCTTTCAGCATCCAGCGGTCCAGTTCGTAAAGGGCACTCATGTACCGCCCTCGATAGGCGTCGTTGAGCTCGGAAGTGGTGCTCGGCGTTATCAGGGAATACTTGAAGCGGCGCAGATAGTATTCGGTCATTCGTTTGGTTAGAAAGTCGTTCTCGTACTTCTCCCAGAAGTGGTCATCGACTTCCTCGCGAAGTCGATCCAAGAGCTTGCCCTTGTCCAGATTCTTCCTTCTCACAAGGTCTTCGTTTTCTAAATTCTCCACCACTTGATCGACTATCTCGGTCAGAACGTTTTCGCAAATGCTATCGACACAAACGGTCTGGCGAACTCGCTTGGGAATAGATTCTACGGACCCGATTGTAATATCAGCGAATTCCGGTACGATACTCGATTTGTCTTGTTTGTTCTCCGATCCCCAATCGATGTCGTCGTCTGATTCCAGTTCGGAGGACGAAATCATAGCCAGACCTTGTGCATCGGATTCATCGGACATCGGAAACATTGTGTCGTCCATAGCTTCATCGTATTGGTCTGTGGCCAATGTGCCATCCGTATAAGTGAGGGAGGAGCTGTATGTCAAAGGGTTCCGGAACTTTCCGAGGTCCATATCGCTTTCCGACCGCTTCAAATCGTGTTCTGAGCTCGAGCGGGCACTAATCTCGTCCAAATCGGGCAGATTCCTGATGCCATCGAGTAGGTTGAATCGCATCCTGATGTTCGAGTCGGAGGATGCACTCATTCGGCCATCAGATTTAAACAAAGAGCTGAGCTCCGTGTGAAAACTGCTGTCATTCTCTCCTGGTGCAAAACCCTCCTCATCGACAAACTCACTTTCCGAAGAACTAGATATTTCAAAACTTTTACTTTGCTCGAATTGAACCTTTTCACTTGATTCCTTTTTGATGATCTTATAAATTTGCCAAGGCTGGTCGCTCCCATCAGAACTCCGGTTTGTTAAAGCCGAGGACGTATGTTTTCTTGAAGCTATCGAGGTCAGTGATTTACTCACCTTTAGTCTGATGAAAGATTTCGACTTTTTGGCCTTCAGCTGTGGAGAGACAGCACTGGGAGTTGGGGATGGGAAAAACTCGTCGGATGGAATACTTGGGCTCCGAGTGCCCAAGCTGGCCTGCGATCTTTTTGTACTGACAAAGTTCGAAAACGACTCTGCATTTTCGACATCCTTCACGACTTTGGAAACCTTTTGTGCCCGCTGACCGTCTTTCCCAAGAGATTTTATGCTCTGATCAGAGAATCCGCCTGCAATGTTTGATTTTTTTGGCTTTACCATTTTTGAAAAACTGATGAACTAGTTGCGCAGAAATACGTGCAGAAACCGCACGATGAAAAACGTGTAAAACTAAAAAGAAAACAAAAAACAAGAAACACAACTAAACAGTAGAACTAAATATTGTGTATTATGATCATATTTGAGTGAAAACTCCCAAAAGAAATAAGTATTGATAGATATATTTTTTTCTTAGCTTATTGCCTGAAAATGAATAAATAAAAATATCATTTAGTTAATTGCAAAGCAGAACTCAAATTCAAAATCTGTCTTTCATAAAGATTATAAGGATCAATCAGTTAATGTGTACATTTTCAAAGCTAATAAAAAAGAAGTCTAACCGACTTTTGTTAACTTTTTAAGCTGTTATTTTAACGGATGATAATTTAGCAAAGACATTATTTTGGTTTGGTACTTCGATAAGCCAGGTCTGTTTCCGCCTAGTCGATATTTGAGAAATCGAATTTTTAATGGTTTTCGTCTAAGCTATCGATAGGCTGAATTTTTAAATAGGGTCATTCACATGTGAACAATTATTTTAAAATTAATGGTATTCTTGAATAAATTGATGACAGATGAACAAATCATAATTGTTTTTTTGTGTTGTTTACATCTTATTTAAACTTCAAAACAACTCAATGTTGTCTTAAATGATATTATTAATCCAAAAGTTAATGACACAGCGTTTATGCCAAAAACTAAACACTGTTAGGCTTAAATCTGCATATATTAAAAAAAAAAATCCCTTTTTCCCTTGAACACGGAATCGCGCGTGAACGGCTTGGCGGATTTGATTAATTTTTATTTATTTTGTTCGGTCAATAGTGGTTTTAAAAATTGAGGCATTGAGGGTCTTATTAGAGAACGAATTTCTGGTCTACATTTTTAGGGATTCTGGTATTAACGGAGCACTTTTCATAATTTTTGATTCCTTCATTAACAGAATAGAATGTTGTCATCCATACTTTGTGCATAAGTATTGTTCATATATTATGCATATTTATTATCCATACATAATGCATATATATTATGCATATATTTAAAAGATTTCAAATTGATTTTATAAAAGAAGTCATTGGTTGTTCGTTACTTTTTTTTATTTTTATTTTCTGAGATTTTTTTGTACATAAAAATTACTGATACTGTCAGTGAAAACATCGATGGCGAAAGCTGGACCTTCACTATTGTTGTTATCGATGAGCTATCGAGGATTTGACAGCTCTACGTGCCAGCTCTAGTGACGTTTTCGTGAAGTTGTGTTTGTTTTTTTTTGTTTTTCGTTCGTTCGGTTGAGTTTTTTTTTGGTGGTCATTCGTCATCGCTTTGGACTCTTGCGTCCTTGGAAAATTCACCGATCTCCGTGGATTTTGACCTTTCGACGTGTTGTTAAGGAACTTCCGGATGCGCTGGCGTAGTTGTTGTTGCGCGAGCGAAAACGGTAAAAGTCGGCCGTCCCGTTCTTCATCCGCCTGTTGCATCTCTCCATCTCTTTCCCGCGTGCTCGGAATTGGGGTGGAGCTCGCCCCTTCTCTTTCGCACGCCCATTCAGCTGTTGCGTTTGCGTGCGTGTGTGTGTGAAAGACTTTCGACCAAAAGAAAATATATACGAATATATACGCATTGTTTTTGGCCCAATAAGCATGCTAGTTGGCCAAGATAAGTGCCTGCAAAACGAAACTCCACTCCGAAAAGCGTTTATATAATTCGATTTGCTTTCCACCTTTGTGCGTTTGCCAGCTTTTCTTCTTTTTCATTCGGCCAACTTGTTTTGCTCGCGAGTGTGTGTGTGTGTATGAGTCGGTATCGGGGAGTGTGTGTGCGTGTGCATACATGTTGCTATTAATTTACGCTTTCTGCTCGGCTGCTTCAATTAATTCTTTGCTTTGGCTTAGTCCCGATGCTCTAACTCGAGTGCTTAATTGCCACACATTTCGTTTTCGCAAGCACTAACTTTTATAACTGCTCCAAAAGCTTCAAAAAACCTAGTGCTGCCCACTCCTCCCTCCGATTTTCCGTCCCACTCTGCGGTTGTATTTAAATTTCATTCGTTCAATTGTGAAAATCGCGGTTTCACAAAAAATTGTGAAAGTTTCGTTTTTCCAATGCTTCGGTTTTTCTACTTACTCCCAAGCCTCCGATAAACAGCTGTGGCCAAAACAACAGATTAGTTTAAAAACGATTTAAATTAACTATTAAAATGACCGGTGACTAAAAGTTCAAACTTGTCTGCCATTTAAAAATTATATACGTTTTCACATATTGAAATGAAAAACACCTTGTTGTATTCAGAGTTAAACTTTAATTAGGTTTAAGATATGTAGGTTTTTAAAACTAGTACTATTATTTTGAACACGGCTGTAGGTTTTCAGACGAAGATAATTAATGCAGCCATTGCCGTTGGTTTTTTTTTTAACAATAAGCATAGTGGGATTAGAGTTTTTACGCTTACGTTTGCACTATCATGGTGATCAACAGGTAGACGTTAGGATTGCGATTAAATGTGAAATGTTATTTATAATTTGACCATATCAAATTGATATCATTCAAATTTGTAATCTTTTCTACTCGTATAGAACTCCAATTGGCACTCAATAAATCTAAGTCGCTATCTTGTTCGGGTTTTGAGTAGTTGTTTAAAAGATAGGAATACACATAGAAAATAGGTCATTATGGCCTGATACCAGTAATAAGTGCAACTTCATTAACTAAGTAAAACAGAGATTAACAGCTTTAAAAATATATTTTTTTGCGATGACTTACATAACTTAAACTGCACACTAAATAATCCTGTGTCTTTAAACCTTATTATCCACAGCTTAACCTTCATGTCGAGTTCTACCTAAAGATGCTGTGATGGCGAAGATGGCATCGGGAGATCTTTCGCTGACCAGCACGAGCAGTCAGGAGGGTAAGTCTGGAGATCTCTACCAAACATCCATCAGCTGTAACTCCCCACTTACAATTTTAGAAGAGAGCTCGGAGTATGTGGGCTATGATAACACCCTTCGTCCGCCGTCCAACTCCAGTGGCAGCACCACGGCCGCCAACATGGCCAACAACAACGGGCCCTCGAAGGTCGTGAACAGCGGAGTGGGCGTATCGGGCGTGCCCGGGGGAAACGGAACGAAGTACGATCTGCTACAGGCGCAGTACAATTCCGCACTCCTGGAACTGAACACCCTGCGCCACCAGCACTCGAGCACCAAGCGCCGCTGCGAAGAGCTGGCCACAGAGCTGAATCTCTACCAGGAGCACTACATGGCCGATCGCAACAAATTCACGGACATAGTGGAGGAGAGCGCCCGGCTCAAGCGCCTGCTGCTGGAGACCCAGAACCAGCAGAGCCAACAGGCTCAGAATGGGAACAGCCAAGTGCCGCCCGGGGCCAGCGGAAATCCGTATTACTTCGGGAAGACCCAGGGATGCGACGGCAGCTGCATCGAGAAGCTGGCCGAGCTGAAGAAGGAGCGCAACATGGTCGCGGTGGAGCGCGAGAAGTACAAAAAGTCGTACATTGAGCTGGAGAAGGATCGCAACTACTACCGCGAACGGGGCGATGAGAACCAGACCCTGAAGGTCCTGCTCAACAAGGAGACCAAGAACGTGGGTGCCCTCACCGAGGAGCTGAACCAATTGCTCTCCGAGAAGGACAACGTGCTGCAGGAGCACCAGAAGATGTCCGACGATCTCGTGCTGGCCAACAAGGAGATCGAGCGCCTCAAGAAGGATGAGCAGTTGGCCAGGGGAGAGATCAAGGCTTTGCAGCTGGCCAACGCCGAGCTCAAGAAGCGCGACCTTTTAAAGTCGCGCGAGAGCTCCTGGTCGAAGGAGTTCTCCAGCGGGAAGGAACTGGAGAACAGCAAGGAGCTGGAGAAGCTGCGCAAGAGCCTGGAGAAGGCCCTCTCCGAGGTGGAGCGCTCCAGTCAGGATGCCGAGGAGGCGAAGCGCGTGCGCGACTGGGCCATTTCGCAGCGCGAAAAGATTGTGCAGGAGCGCGACTCGGTGAAGACGCTCTGCGACAAGATGCGCCACGAGCGGGACAAGGCCATCTCCGACTCCCTGATGGCCATTCGGGACAGCGAGAAGATCAAGAAGCAGAAGGACGAGGCCCAGAAGAAGATTGACCTGCTGAAGGAGCAGATGGAGCAGCAGGAACGCCACAATCTGGACAGCACTGCCAGCGGATCCCGACGCAGCTTCCGACTGAGCAGCTACGAGGGCGAGGACCTCCTGGAAGTGGAGCTGTCCGGCTACGAGCACACCTCCGATCTGGGTATCATTCTGGATGACAGCAACAAGCGCAAGCTGGTGTGTGGCGTGACCAGCAGCTCCCCCGCCTGCGGGAAGCTCAAGATCAACGATGTGATCTGCAAGGTAAACAACCTGGACTGCCAGTCTCTGTCCAAGCGAATGGTTCTCGACGAGATCCGCGCCTGTGCGCCCCACTCCCTCCTGCTCGTCTCCCGCACGCGCCACAGCAAGCGGCACGCCTACTCCGTTCAGCTGAAGACCCGCGATCGGGACTGCCCGCACGGATTGCAGCTGGACATGGGCGTGTTCATCGCGAAGATCGAGCAGAACTCGCTGGCCTTCTTCGAACCGGAACTGGACGTCGGGGACCGAGTGCTGAGCATAAACAACAAGTCGATGGACTCGGTGCAGTCGATCGAGGAGGTGATGCAGCTGCTCAACGATCCGCGCAGCGATGGACTCAACCTGTTTGCCCTGAAGTACGTGCAGGATCAGCTGCCGCCGGGCATGACCACCTCGTCGGCGCAGACGGACTCCATCGACTCGATGCAGCACCTGTCGAGTGGCGGCGGCGGCGGCGGTGGAGGAAGTGGAGCCAGTAGCGCCACCAAGCATCCGTCCCGGTTCGCCGAGTTCTTCTTCCGCAAGCTGAAGTTCAGCAAGCCGGGAACGCCGGAGGACAACTTCGAGCAGGAGCACGACGACGCCATCGCCGCTCTGGATTCGGTGCTGAGCGAGAACAGCTCGGAGAAGAGCAAGGAGAACCTGTTCAACCGCAAGAAGCGCACCAAGAAGGAGAAGGAGGCCTCCAAGAGCATGGGCACCTGGCCGCGGACCAACATCTCGCACGACAATCCAACGGGCACCATGCGGGGCAACGAGAAGAAGCGCGCCCTCATGTCTCTCTTCACTGCCGGTCCGATCAACGTGGACAAGGACGACGAGCTGGTGGGCGAGGTGGGTGTCCCGGAGAAGCAGCCGCCGGCGTTGATGCAGGAGCAGCTGCCTCCGCCGTTGCCCCCGCAGATGTCCAAGCCGCTGGCCCACATCCGGGGGGCTAACGGGAGTGCCATCAAGGCGCACCCCAACCGCAACTCCAATCCGGTGAGCTCGGGAGCCTCGGCTTTGTTTCCTCCCGGCTCCGCTGGCGGAATGCCCATGGCCGGCTACCCGACGCATCCGAGGCACTCGCTCTACGGCGGCATCGGAACCCCGGAGGAGATCAGCCAGAAGCCAATGCCCAGAGCTCCCCTGATGGGCGCCAACGCCAGGGTAAAGATGCCCTCGCAGGAGCGCTACGGCACCAGGCCGCACAGCAACCACCGCCTGTCGCTGAACATCACGCCCAGCGGCGACTTCTACCAGCCGAAGACCAGTGGCCAGCAGGCCCAGCAGCAGGTGATGAACGTCTCGTCGAATGCCGCTGGATTTGCCATGGGATCCGGTTCGATGGGTGGAGTGACGGGACCGGCGGCCGGGGAGTTTCCAGTGCGCAAGCAGCAGGTCTTTGACGTCTTCCACCCGCCGCCACTGCCGAAGAACAGCGGTGGATCCAATCCGAATGCCGTGTTCATGCCGGTGAACCCGCCGAGGGGCAGCCACCCGCTGCCAGTTGGCCAGCCGCCGGACGTGATATCCCTGAAGTCGCAGAACTCCATCGAGTCGATCCTGTCGGCGAAGAGTCCGGCGAACAGCGAGTACGGGGTGTACGCCAAGCGGCATGTGCCCATGCCGCAGGCGGTGAGGCATGTACCCAAGTACCCCAGCGACAGCGAGAGCATTGGCTCCGGCATCCACGGCGGCTACGGCGGGTACCTCCAGTCCAACCACATGCCGGGCAACAGGCACACGCAGCTCTTTCCCACTTTCGGACCCGGTGTGAGGAGCAACCGCCGGTCCAGTCCGCTGACTCTGCCCTCGCCGCCGCCGCAGCAGCAGTTGCAGCAGCTTCCCGCGGCGGTGGCGCCGCACGACAGCGTCGGAATCCCCACCGACCTGGACTACCACCAGCACCACCATGCGCAGACCAATCCGCTGCCACTGCCGCACCCCCATCCGCATCCGCACGCTCCCTACCTGGACTACGGACACCCCTACATGGGAGTGGGCGGGGGAGGAGTGTCGGGCGTGGCCGGGATCATCTACGAGGGCGGAACCTTTCCGCGCAAGAAGGACAACCAGCGGCTGCGGATTCCCTCCAACCCCAGTGTGGCCAGCAAGAGCAGCAGCATGGTGAAGAACAGCTCCGGCAGCATTGACCACCACTACGTGACGAGCACGGCGCCCGCTTCTGGAGGATCCATGTCGGCCTCGTCCTCGGATCGGGCTCCCATCTCCCTGATGAGTTCCAGCATCCACAACAGCTACGGCGCCAGCATGGCGGGCGGAAATGGAACCGGATCGGGAGTGGGAGTGGGAGGAGGAGGAGGCGGAAGTGGCCGCGGATCGCCCATGCCGCAGGTCCATGTGGAGGTACTCAGCCACGGAGGAGGAGGCAGTGGCAAGCGCAACTCCAACGTGCCCGCGGATTTTCTCTGCCCCGGAGACCTTAGAAGAGTCACCATCGACAAGCGCGACAAGTCGCTCGGTATCACCATTCAGTGCAACAACAACGGCGGCGGCATCTTTGTGTCCACCGTCGCCGACAAGAGCACAGCGATGCGTGCCGGTCTCCAGGTGGGCGATCAACTCTTGGAAGTATGTGGCATCAACATGCGTGCCGCCACGCAGGAGATTGCGGCCAACGTGCTGCGCCAATGCGGCGACTCCTTCACAATGCTAGTGCAGTATAATCCGGAGAGTAAGTATATCTGATCGAGGAGGAAGTACCATTCTTCTAATCGCAATCCTTCTTGCAGAGTTCCCTTCGATGGAGTACGAGGGAGCACACAATCTGGAACCAGAATCTCCCGTCAACCACTCCGGTTCCCCCACTCCGCGCAACTCCCCGCGACCCCCGGCTCGCAACTCGCTGTTCCCGCTGCCGCTGCAGACGCAGATACCTTCAACCAGGTCCGGGTCGCGGGCCCCGCTCTCGCACCAGTCGATCAAGGACCAGAGCTTCACCGACAGCCTGGAGAACCAGTCGGACATCAGCAGCAGCCAGGACATGCCCTCGTCGGCGGCCACCACCACCACGACGACCGCCTCGGCCACGTCGACGGTCTACGACGAGGAGCCGAAGCCCGCCTTGCCGCCGCCGCCCGCTTCCGTTCCGGCAGAGAGTACGTAGCCACCACACTCCACCCACTACTAACCACACTCCCCGGGGCAGTAGCTTGTTCCCCAAGTCCGTCCCCTCGGCGCAGAAGGTAACCGTGCAGCAGGAAGCGTTTCCAGCTCTGCAAGGTACATATTCTCGGCGTCTAAATAGCGAAGAGTCTTCAGTTAATTTCACCAAGAAGAACATTGTTTGTTTGGAAGTTATATTTAATTATTAACTTCTCAGTAAAGTGTATAACTTAACTTTAACTTAAGCACAAATGAATGAATGAATACGATTTAGATTCCAAAGCTTCTCCCCTACTAACAAAGCAATGAATCCGAAGTAACGTGCATACTACATGAACTAATTTATTGTTCCAGCTCTGAGGTATGTCACTCTGCACATGGACAAGTCGAAGAACCTGGGCATCAAGCTGTTTGGGGGAAACAAAGTAGGCATCTATGTGCACGACGTGGCGTCAGGATCGCCCTCGGATCATGCAGGCATACGCAAGGGCGATCAGATACTGGAGTACAACGGGGTGGACCTAAGTGGAGTCACCGCCGAGCAGGCGGCCAACGAGATATCCAAGCTCACGGATACGGTCACCATGCTGGTGCAAAATAAACTGCACAGTGAGTAGTTAAAGAATTTAATTTTAACTTAAGTTTAACTAACCTGCATTTTATTCTTTCAGCTCTAAAGCAAATTAAGGATGAGCCTGGGGACTCCTTTTACATTCGCGTGGGGTTTGACCGGATTGGCGAGCTCAACGAGGACGACTTGCGCTTCGTGAAGGACGAGGTGCTCTACGTGGACAACACAGTTTTCAACGGCACCTTTGGCTTGTGGCGAGCTTGGAAGCTGGACGCCATGGGCCATCGGAAGGAATGCGGCATTATACCCAGTCAAATGAAGTGAGCAATTAGAATAATTTTTATATTTAATCTCTTGATTTAATTAACTGAAATATATTCTGTTGTAAACCACTTTAAAATATTTTTAGATTTTGTGTATACTTGTGTTCTTATCCAATAATTGATTTTTTTAAGTTTACTAATAACAACCTTTTTAATTTTTTATTCCCGCAGGGTGGAGGAGGAACTGCGTTCGGGTGAGGTGGTGGACTGTGATACGGGAACCGCTAGACGCGGCAGCACTTCTGCCAGGAGATCGTTTTTTCGTCGCAAAAAGAACCAGCGAAGCTCGTCCCGCGACTCCACGGAGATTGCCAGCTTCAGCAATACGCAGCTTAGCTTCTTTCCAGACTTGGGCCTCCTGAACGATGATGGTGGTGCCCTTAGCTACCAGCGCGTGGAGCTGCTGGATTGTGAGTATCCATACCTTGAATTAAATATAGGTATATGAGTTCAATCCCTTGCTTTGTTTAGCGCCCATTCGCCGACCCGTTTTGATTATTGGACCGCTGTCCGAGTGCCTAATGGACCGGCTGACCATCGACTTCTCCAACCTCTTCAAGCTCTGCGAGGTGACGGCCATGGACTGCTCACAGGAGGCCATGGAGGAGGGTCTGAAGGAGAACATCTTTGTGGACTACCGGCGGCGGGGCAACAAGTTCGAGTGCACCACCGTGGAGGCCATCAGCAATGCCTGCAAGAACGTGAGTAGCTACACTACAAGCCAGTGGGAACATGTAAACACCATATTTTTCTTGCAGGATCGTCGTCACTGCATTCTGGACGTTTCAATCTCCGCCGTGGAGCGCCTGCAGCGCCTACAAATCTACCCCATTGTTCTGCTGCTGCGCTTCAAGTCGGCAAAGCAAATCCGAGACATTCGCGACTTCGGCACCGACAAAATCTCGGCCAAGGCGGCCAAGGAGATGTACGAGCGGGCCATGAAGTTGGAAACCGACTACAAGCAGTACATATCAGGTGAGTTGTATTCTTTTGAGTCTGGGTTGTAAACTCGACATGAACTATCCTTTTCTTAATGAATTATATTTGGTTTCTTTTATGATGTGAATATATGGTTCATGCAATCAAATTCAGTTACATTAATATAAACGTGTACCGTTGTCTGCCTTTGCTTAAATTCGTTGTAAACCCCTTTGGTTAATATTCGTTATTGCTTGTTTGTTTAGTTGATATGTTATTCAAATATTATATGTAATCCATGCCTAAGTTAATTTTTAAGATATAAGTATGCTTCTTCTCATTAAGAGAAATCTGACACATGCTCGGTATTACGAGTTTACAAGTCAAATCTAACTATGTAAAATTGTTCCAAATATTAAACTATTTAATTTTATTGCAGCCGTTATCCCCGGCGTCAGCATCAAGCACATGTGCACCCAAATCAAGGACGCCGTCGACAAGGAGCAGGACAAGCTGCTTTGGGTGCCCGTATCGAGTGCCTGATTGGATCGGTTCGCCCGGACAGCCCGGACTCGGGGTCCTCCTAGTTTTAGTTATTAGCACACAACGCGACACTCACGCCTAGTATTTTTCAACGCGCATCAATAGTATCGAGTTCGTATTCGTTTTGTTTAACGTTTAACGCAGAGTATTCAACGGGCGTCGACTTGCAACTGAGTGGTTTGCATTTAGGGCGCGGTATTTCTACCTGTTTCTTGTCTCTGTCACCTAATTTATGTCTGTAGATGTAGTTTCTGTTCGCGGTTCTCGGTTCGCCTGCCCTGTGCGGCAGCTAATGCCGATCACAAACGAGAGGAATGCTTCCACAATTTATATATCTTATTTATATATACCGCCTGGAACTAGATTTCCCTCGAAGGCAACATTCTAAGCCTAAAGTCTGTTTGAATGCAATTTATCATTATGTATTTGTAGGAAAAGCATCGATATATTTTATTTTATTCACCTAACGATTCGATAAACTCGGTGGCATTAGAGAGTTTGGCTTTAAACCTTCAACTGTTCAACTGTGAATATTAAATAGATTCGACTAATTGAATTTTCTTTGAGAACTGCTTCTAAATCGAGCTTTACTTACAACCTTACTTATTTTGGAAAAAGGGCCCTTGGCCGATCCTGAAAATAAAAACGCGGCTAGTTAAGCAACACTAGAATTTTTATTTAATTGAGTGATTGACAAAAAAGCTATCACTAGCCTTAAGTGGTAAACGGTTAAACTGAAATGAAGTGCCTGGAATTGCCTTCAAATTGCTGAGAAAGGAAACCCTTTTCTACACATAAATACAATTTATAAATCTAATTTATCAACGTACCCTCGTAAACAGTAATATATATCAACGTATTAAATACAATAAAATCTATTTTATACATACGTAAGCATTCTAAATATACAGACTACATTTTGCAATAAATATTTTTCCAAAATGCATTCAACTTTTCTCTGGGATCAAAATGATTTGGGGTTAATGTTATGGCCACTCTTATGGTTTTGCTTACAGCTAGGATCTGGATAAATAAATAAATAATAAATCTAGTGAATACTATCGGACGCAGCTCAATGGCCGCGATGCGTTCGCAAGTATTTCAAGGTACATTCGCTCTGTAAGTGTTCGCCTAAATCGGGCATTATGTTGGCCTATATTTACATTAACATAATGCCGCCTTTTAAAAAATAACTTAAAGTAGAAGATTGCATAGAAGTGGCTAAAGATTGTTCGATTTTATATGAAATGGAGTGTTGGAACTGATAAAATTATAAATTGAAATGGTTAATTTTGCAAATTTTAAAATTGATCGGTAACAGAGAAATAATTTAAGTCTTTTGAAGGTTTTCAGTAACAGATAACAAGAAAAATTAAACTAATTAAAGACAGCTTGTGCAACTTAGGTATACAAAATCTAGATCTACTGTACAATGTATCTAAGGATTTCGAATGGATTATCCCTCCAAGAAGTCGAACTCGTCGCGTGGGCGGTACCACTCATCCGTGGCGTGTTCGTAGATGGCCTTCTGGACCTCCGCCTCTGCAGCCTCGATGGGATCGGACTTGGGAGCGTCGAAGCGGCTGTCGGATCGGGGACTGCGGGAGGTGGCCCGGAACTCCATGGGGATGTTGTAGCACTTGCAGATGCAGCTGGACGGGAAGCGGAACCAGTCGGAGAAGATGCCGCGGCACTCGTTGTGCGGATCGTAGGCCAGCAGGCGGTGCAAGCGGTACTGCTGCTCACACCTGCACCCGTCCCGGCAGAACATCTGCTTGAACTCGTGGGTGCACTTCTCCCAGTGGACGTACTGCTCGAAGGGGTACAGGTTGAGCAGGGCCAGCACCTCGCCACGGGTGTTGTTCGCCCAGAAGGGGGCCACCACTTCGTCCTTGACAGGACAGGCATTTCTGGAGGAGGAAAACGATTATTTAATAATTGTACTCCTGTAACATCAGTAAAGTATTAAAGAAACTAATTATGTTTCTTTAATATTTGCCTTAGTTTAAATTTCCAATTTTCAAGAAACATGTCATTTGTTAAGGTTAATTTTAATAACCGTGATAGGAAATAATTTAATGTTAAATAAAAATTTGGAATCGGAAAAAAACGAACAATATTAAATAATGAATCTTGGCTCCAGTGTCATCTGAATTATAAATCATAAATTATTAACTTGATATTATTTCTTAGCATTTTCTGCTGTTGAGAATTGATCAAACATTACTACTTTTATTTATATGGCTCGTAAACTTACACTCCCCGCAAATTGCTGGCCACTGCGACGGGCTCCTGCTTCATGGCGTCCTGGAAGAGTTGGCCCTCCCTCAGCAGTCCGGACTTGGTGGCGCTTCCGGTGGCGCCGGCTGGAGGTCCAACTGCAGCTGGAGCTGGAGGCGGAGCACTGGTGCTGCTGGTGGTCAGTGGCCTGCGCAGCTTCTCCGGACTGAAGAGCCCGCTGGAGGTTCCAGAGAAGAGGGAGGCGAAGCTGACGGGCGTGGTCACGGATGCGGGTGAGTACTTGGTCACGTTGCGACGGATCAGCAGAGTGGGTGAAGTTGTGGTTGTAGGCAACGTGGTGCTCGTTGCTTTGGGAGTTCCCGCAGTGGTTGTGGTCTCAGCGGGTTTCCTTCTCCTGCTTGGCGAACTCTTCGGCAGAGATGTGGGTTTCGAAGTGGCGGCAGTCGGTGGCTCCTGGGATGGCTTCGCCTCTCCACTGAGGTTACGCAATCCCAGCTGCGGTGAGTCGATGATTTGGATGTTTTCACCACCTGCATCCGAAGGCTTCGCAGTGGAGGAAGTGGGTGAAATCGAGGAGGAAACCACTTCATATACACTATTTGATTCCGGACTCGGTTGAATCTCCACAATTTCCGCCTCAATTTCAGTTTCTTCAGCAGAAGGTGGAACTGCAGTGGGTTTACTTGAAGTGGTGGCATTTCCAGATGTTGTGGTGGTGATCTCACTTTTTTCAGTGGAGCTACTAACTATTTCTGGAGCAGCTGTGGTCGTCGTCGCCTTGGTTGTACTGGTAGTGCTCGTGGAAACCGGACGGAAGTGCGGTTCCATCAGCACATCGTTGTTCTTGAAGCTCCCGAAATCATCACGATCGCGATCCCTATCCCTGCCATTCATCAGATACTTGGCACTGCGACGACCGCCATCCTTGCTGTACCGCTCCGCCGCCTCCTCCATGTCCTCCGCGTCCACCTCGTTGTTCTGGATCTCGTCCCGCAGAATGGAGATGTGCCTCACATCGCCGTACATGCGCTTCATCAGTCCCTGGTTCTCGTGCACGAACCGCCGGACAGCGTGCCACGGATACGCGGATCCGGGCAGGTGGCAGAAGGCCTGCTGCCCCAGGTCGCAGGGAATCGCCGCCAGGATCTGGGCTCGACCCCGTCGGGACATCTTGCCATTCGGACTGCACGAATTGGCCGAGTCAAATCCGAAGCCAGCGGTGGCCAAGGGTAGAGCCACCACAACGATCAGCAAAAGGCTCCAAAGAACATGGCTCTGCAAGGAAAGATATTGGGTTTCAAAATATAATGTATCTCTAAAATAAATGGATGTTTCAATTGTAGTAAGAGTAACCAAGTAACCAAGTAATTACAAGCCAAACTTAAAAATCGTTTAAATGTATAAAAGTTATCTTTGTCAATCTATAGCTATCAAACATTTTTTCTTAAGTACAAATACTACTGTATTTTAAGAAATAGCTTTTGGATCAGTGAAATAAACTTGACCGAAATAAAAATACTTTTATGTGTATTCCCACGAGATTATTATAACATTAGAGATTAGAATAACATTAATTCAGAATGATTCCGATGTTTTACCACATTCACAATTAAAAAGTGTATATTGCAAGGCGAATACCACTTATGATTTTAGATTTCACTTCTCTGGTAATCTCCCTTTTAATTGCCGGTGGATTAATCAATATTTGTGTGTGAATTTTATTATCCGACATTTCCTGCTGTTGGAAAGGCTTTTCTTTCCAGCTGGATTGATTGGGCAAATGACCCCCCAAACTAATGGGAAAAGTCGGCAGCTCCAGCTGAGCGGAGGAAATCTTAATTGAAACCACAGCCGCTCGCTGATAAGCAAATGGCGTGACGCCAAAACTTCATTTTTTGTGGCAGCTGAGTGGAGTCAAGTGGGCTCAATGCACCTGGGAGGACTGAACAGAAAATCAGAGAAAAAAATACTGAAAAGGCCGGGCTGCTCTCACTCGACTGCAGCCGGTAGAAAATCAAATTTTACTTTCACGCAAAGCCAACTGGACAATCACAAGTCATAAAGATGATCGATGTGCATTTGCATGCCACCTCCAGACTGCAGAGCCAGAGAGAATGGCCGCAATTTCCGCCGCCATTACACTGAGCCAATTATTTTTCAACAAAAAAAAAGAACTCAATCTAATTGCAGCCATAAGCCTAATACAAATTCTTTCATTTTTTTGATTTTTTAACTATCTTTTAAAAATTTATCTTAAACTTCTCTTGACATGTGAAAATATTTGTTATACAATTTTTATCAAAATAACAAATACTTTCAATTTGCCACTGGGAATAAGCTTCTTTCTCTTAACAAAACTCACTGGCATACGCTTCGTATGAGTAATTTATTTTAAAAACCCGAATGAAATTCTTCACAAACGTCTATAAGTTATATAATAAATATATAGTTTTATATAACTAAGTAGATAAGGAGTTTGGCTTGAAAGTTATAGATCAACTAAAAAGTTTGTAATTTGTACACAATTCTAATATTTCTTAATAAAAATATGAATTAAAAAAACCAAGTAGTGATAACCAGGAAAAATGAAGAATCTTTAATGATCATAATGATCGTTATTAAACCTTTTTAATTAATTTACAATATTATTTCTTTATAAAAATGTGCAAAAGGTTTAATGGCAATGCTGTAATTATTTCTTGACAACTTGTTTCTCTATGTGCATCGGATGCCAGCATGCCAGACTGGCCGCCGACTGATCCACCCCGCCCTGCACCACCGTGGCCACTCCGCGGCACTCCGCCACCCGAGCTGCCACCGCCGAGTGGCAACCGGCAGCGGACAACTTGCAACAACTGGCCATCGGCCACCGGCCACCGGCCACTGGCAGCCGGCAAAGTGAAATGCAAAGAGCAATCAAAAGCGAAATGGGTTACCCAAGTAAAAGTAAATTGCGGCGCGGAGGAAAAGCCGCGGCATTTCCCGCCCCCCTTCCCCCTCCCCGCATTTGTCCAAGGGCCCTTTCAACTTTCCTTTTCGGTTGCACAATTGCTGGCAGAAAGCCGGGACTTACTTCAGTTTCGGTCCTAATAGGGCTTTTCGGACCATGTCTGCGCTCTTTTTCCCCGACTATCTCACTCAGCCGAGTCGAACCGGTTGGCCAAAACTGATGTGCACTCGGTGTTCGGTGTTCGGTGTTCGGTTATCGGCCAGACCCGCAGCCACAATCACATATGGCTAACACATATCGATCGCTGGTGGTGATTCACGAAAAGAAAAGAAAGTGATCGGCTCCCTTGGCGGATGTGTGTCCAAAATGTGGGCTCAAAGCGATTGGCCAAGCTGTTAGGTAATACCGAGCATTCGTCTGTGGCCATCACGCCTTTCTGTATTTCGGGAAAATTCCAGCCCGATTAGCATACGTAAGCAAGGTCAATGATTAGGCAACCTCCTAACGTTTTCCAGGAATTATAACTTGTAAGAAGATTATCTCTTAGGTAACTAAATAAACATCTAATAAAATAACAAAACAATGTTATCCTAAGTGGTCTTGAAGAAATGGCACAAGAAAATAATATAAAAACAAAACAATAAACCAAACTTGTAAACAATATGAAAACGTTATACAAGCAAAAAATGGGGACAAAAAGTTGATGAATGATTTAAAAAATTGTAGAGTGATGAAAACAATTAAGGTTCCCTTGTTAATTGAATTAAATTTCCAGCTTTCGAGCATCAATACAAATATAAATTAATTTATCTATTTTCCCTTTTGAGCTACAAAGTATTTCACAATTTCGTTAACAAAACCGAAGTAGAACGCAACGAAGTCATGAATTACATTGAAAGTCTTCTCATACATCATGAGCCCAAATCCCATTTAAATATCAATGACAAGGTGGAATTCCTCCCAGCAGTAATGCCCTTTTCTCCAATTTGGAAAAGCACTTCAATCAAGTGCTCCACGGCAGCCAGACCTCGGCAATTATGAGAAGAAAGTGATATGGGATCCGAAACCTGAGGATGAGACCGCAACTTGGCGACTTGGCAACTTGGGTGCGAGGCAAATGGCTCTCTGCGAACTAATTTGTGTTGGAAATCAAATCAGGTCAGACCGCAAGAGAAGTCGCCTGAAATGGAAAGCAGAATTACTTTCGCTTTGTTCGGCAAAAAATAAATAAGGCGGCTGGCATTAGTGCCGATTGTCGATTGTCGTGTGCAGCGGGACAATTAAGCCGAATCTTATTCATTAACATTGTCGTATTTCTTGGAAGCGCCGAGCCTCGGGGAAATTGGAGCAAATGCTGCTCTGCTGTCAGCGTCCCAAGTCGGCGAAACAAATCAATATGTCCAATCAGCCGTGAGAGCTTGCAACTGCTGCAGTCTGTGTTGGCGAAATGGCTTTTTGCCCGACAGTTTCGTTAAGTTCTTTAATCGGTCATTGTAAAGAAATAGAATACCTTCCCAAATAGATTTGACCTTTTTAAGTTAGTCTACTACAAAATTGTTTTAATTTTTAACTGCAGATGCACAATTAATTATTTCATAAAGAGCTAATGAATCAAAAGATTCTGAGTTTCAGTTTTAATAGGAGTATATTTTGTTTAAGAAACATACTATAAATATATACTATTGATACTGAAAGTTGATGCTTTATTAGCCCTATAAAAATTATTGATGAAATCATATCATATCAATATTTTTTTTTTTTTTTGCTCAAGCTGACCTACTTCCGTGAACTTATTCCAATTTGTTACATATTCATCTACATTTTATTATCGACAGAATGAATGGTTTTAGTCTAAAGTGAAGCCTATTCTGCTGGCTATTTTTAGCCGATTCTCAGAGCCCATAGTAGGCATCGCTGGATGCGGCGGTGCAGTGTCGATGCTGCGGTGCAGTGCAAATGGGCATTAAGTCAACTCGCATCGAGGAAGACATTTGTCAATCGCAGACGATGCCGAGCTGTCGCCAGAGAAACGTATTGCAACACTTTAATGTGTCAGCGACTTTCTACGAAAACCCAGTCTGTCAAGGGGGCGGCAAAGGGGGAGGGAAAGGGGAAAAGAGGGTGAGGGGGAGGGGGAGTGGAGAAGCACGAGGAGGAGACGTTCCAGTCTATGTCTTCATTTCCCAAATACAATGTTGCCCCCGTCCGCCCGTCTATCCGTCCATCTGTCCATCTGCAACTCTCTTGGCGAGTGTCTAGAATGAATTATTTATAAATTCAATTGGCTCTGGAAATGAAGTTGATGTTACACTTAACCAAATTTGGCGTTGCCGCTGCTGTTTCTGCTAATTGCCAGGCGAGCAGCTGGCGAGTGGTGAAATTTTCCCCTCCAAAAACAAAAGACTCAGGCGACAAACCTGACGAAGTTTGCAGCGCGGCCAAAACAAAAGACTGAGGCAACAAACTCGATGCGACTCGTCTTGCTGCAAGCTCACCATTATTGTTTTCATTCCCACATCTGGGCAATGCATATTCATGGCGAAATGGCTAATTAAACGCAGAAATTTCACTGATGGGACGCCGCCGGAAAAGGTCGCTTCCCAATTTTGGCAAGTCGATATTTTTTGGGCTGGAGATTCGCTTTCGGCTTTGATTTTTGGTCTTGGGCCAAATCCAAGCGACTCAATCCCGGTCGGCCGCATTGCTCTCGAAGAAAGTGAAACTTTTTATTTTATTCCGTTTCTCTCTCTCTCTCTCCCTCTCTCTATCTGTCTTTCTCTTCCTCTTTTCTTCCTCTGTTTGGGACCGGCAACGCCAACCACAACGGCAAACACAGCGGAAACTTTGAGCGTTTTGGTTGTTGGTTATGCTTTTATGATTGCGTAGTCATGCGTTAAAAGAAAACAAAGCCCACTCGCGGACGGCTGGACAGAAGTTGTTAATATGCACAAAACGCTTAGCCCTATCGTTTATCGATTTCAACACATTTCGAAAATGAAAAAAAAAACAGAAATAAAACCGAAGGGGACGTGTGACCACCTCTTAATTGCGATTTCATTTTCATCAATGGCTTGTGGCCACAGGGGACACTAATTTGGGTTGATTTATTCATTTTTGTTCGGCCCAAAGGTGATTCTCTTTTGAACTGTAACAACAGCTGACAGTTTTTATTATTTTCCATAATTTAACTATTTGTACTCAATAAATGTTTAAATTTTTGTTTATGTAAGAAACATCAAAATGCCAAATTATTGCGAAATAAGTTTATTTTATTCCCTAATAACTTAAAAGGGATACAATTAGCTAGGAACTCTTGTTAACAAACTTTAGCCGCAGAAATTCAATTAGACCCCCCTTTGAAATCCGATTTAATAACACATTTCCTCATAACTTGTAATACATTTAACTTCCTGGCGAGTACTAAAAAACTTAAACTTGAAATAAGCCTTTATCTTTCTGATAAGAATATATACACTCATAGAAATAGTTTTACTATATATACCTACTTATTTAAAAACCGAAATTAAATAGAACTTTTCAGTGTTGTTTACATTTTGGTTGCTAGTGTGATCTTTACGTTTTTGAACAATATGAAGTTTTATTATTTAATGAATGGAACTTGACATCCGATACAAGACCTACCTTCCTTGTTTTATTGCAATTGTTAAACTTTTGACACTTTGTTATGCAAGGTAGTCGCTTGGGGACAAACCCCACTTACCGTTATTAGTTTAGTGATCGGCGATCGCCTATCCATTTGGGTGCGCACCATTGTTTACTTTCACTCGATTGACACTCGCGTCGATGGCAAATGCCAAATGCCGAATGCAAAATAGGTGCAAATAGAAATCAGTCGAAGGATTTGGCAATGTTTCACGCAGATTTCACACTCGCACACACACACACACTCGCAGGGCAATGAAAATTAGTGGTAAAGTCCATATTTCCACACAACTGCAAATCGCATGCAGTTTCCGCGACCTCTGGGGTCCCGCTTCTGTTTTTCCTTGGGCAGGGGGGCTTTTCCCACTGCGCCGAAATCGGGAAATCGAGGAAATCGAGTGGAGCCAAAAACACCAGCGAAAAGCCTAAAATCACGTTCACACGCCTCGAACTCACGTTTGCAACTGCGACGCCACCAGCGGCTGATCGAGCTCCAAGTCCCACGGCAAAGCTACCGTCTCTCTCTTCCTCTGCCGCGCACCCTGCTCCACTACACTCGGAAAAAACGGAACATAGTTCAAAAGAGCTCAATATATATGGCATCGAGACATAAGGAACTGTATACCATTATCTTTTAATATGAAATACAGTCAAGGTGCACATTTATTTTAAATTGTTAAATTAGATTCCTCAAATTTATCATTTTAGTATCTAAGCATTTTACTCAAATAATTAAAACTAAAAAAAAAATACTAATAAATTCTAGAATAAAGATGTCATGTAAAAATAGGTCATCCAAAAACAAATTTTCTCTAGCAAAATGTCTTTAACGTCTTTTAAAGGAAGCTCATATAAGGAAACTCAGATGAAAATTTTAAATTAGTATGACATATAAAATAATTAACCAAATGCATAATGTACTTTGCAAACATGCAGAATAATACAAATTACTTTAAAAGTAAATTTATTTCTTAGTTCGAAATAAATTTATTTCATTAGGTAACTTACCCAAGGTGATGCATTTACTTTACTTAATAATGTAAAAAAAATAAAAATTATTAGTTAAAGAGTAAAGTTTTATGTTAATAGAAAGATAAAAAAATGGTTTCTTTCAAATGTTGCTAAAAATGAAAAAAAAAAAACAGATATTTTATCTGTCCTTCAGCCCCATTTTTATTCCGAGTGTAGAGAGTGGCGAAGAGCGAGAGGCGACGATGGATTTCAGCGCTGCGCCAGCGAAAACGCTTTTTATTTTTACGGTTCGGCTTGCTTTTGTTTTTGCTTTTGGTTTGCTTTTGCAGGAAAACTTTTTCTTATTTATTATTCGACGACAAACGCTGAAAAACGACCCAGCGCAAAAAAAGAGAAAAAAAACTAAAAGCCAGAAAGCAGAGGAGTACATCGACAAGAAAAAGCGCCACACGCAACGCCGAAGCCGAAGAATCGAAGACTCGAAGACGCGAAGAATCGAGCCGGAGAGGGGGCTGCGTCTTCGGGAACCGGAGAGACCCGAGACCCCTTCGATCTCGCACTGCTCCCATGCTCCAATGCTCCAAAGGCGGAGAGTGCGTCGCGCAGACTTCTTAGTAGGTCAGTAGTGGACTCGAGCCGAGCGCTTCTTGCTGCTCCCCCGGCTTTGTTTTGATTCATTTGCGACCGCTGGTGTTGCAGCCAGCCAGTGTGTTGCTTTCTGCCGCCGCCGCCGCCGCTGCCGCTGAAGCAGCCGAGGATTAGACGCCGCCAACGGAGAACAGAGCTTGTTTTGGCGCGCATCTTCGGGACTTGATTGCGGGAGCCGCACTTAGCGAGGGTCGACTGTAAGAGCTGCAATGCAAATGCAAAAAAATAGTATTAAGTTGTTATTGTTATATATATTATTATTTATTTAATTAATTGTACTATTTATACTATCGTTATTATATTCAATTGAATTGCATATACATGTAGATTTCGTTAAATTATTATTATGAACTAAAAGAAAACTTTGTTAATCTGTGAAATATTATTATTTGCACATACAAAAACATATTATCCAAGATAAAATATATAATCAATATTACTGATCGTACTAATCTACTGGTAAGAAGTATAGAGATGATGCAAATAAAATGTTAGAGCTTCATACATACCCCTTAAATCGATATTAAATCAGAAACCAAATAAAATAATTTATTAAACTTCACAAAATGTATATACATTTCAATAAAATACTTGTTTATACAAATTATTGTGAACATTTCCAAAATAAACTTATTTGTTTTGTAATAATTTACTATATGGTATGTGAATTATTCTTGGAAATTCTCTTTAAGCCGCCCTCGCTATCAGCAGCGATCTGTTGAAAGCGGACTGCTGGCCAGGCTAACCGCGGTTTAATTATCGTTGTGTGTTTATTATGTCCTCGCCCGCCCCTCGGTTCCGCCTACCACCCACCGCCCACCGCCTACCGCCCACCGCGTACCGCTGTTCCCATCTCCGCCCACCAGGCGCGGCACGAAGAATATTGTGTTACTGCAGTTCCTCGTCCTCCGTTTTTTATTGGCCACGAAGATTCCCATTGAGTAAGAATTGCGCCACCAATTTGCGGTGGGTGGCAAGGTGGCAAGGTGCTGGTGGGGTGCCTTTCTTACTTTGTGGAGAGAGTTCGGTTCCACCGGTGGAGTGGGTGGTCCCCGATGGACTTTAACTCCCTTTCTCCGCTCCCTTTCCCGTAAAACCCAAAACTGGTTTTCTTCGGCGATTGCCAAATTATTTCGATTGCGAAATTTTCGCAAAGGTGTAGGTGAGTTCACAACTGGCGAATATTATACGATTTTGTAATACCTCTTGTATACAAAAAAAAAAACGAATATTTTTAGAACTAATATTTACTTTCACCTCTTTTTATTTAAACAGAAATCAAAGCCATGCGTTTAAATGATAATTTTATTCTGAAGGTGTTGAAAAAGAATCGAGTCACCGCACTGCCATCGATATTTGGGCCAGAGCAAGTGAAAGTGCAAAAATAATAACTGCGGCTGCGGTTGCGCCTGAGGAGCAGGTTCACGCCAGCTGAGTGCTTTAATCGGGGTCTGGGACCCGGCGAATTAATGTGCGTCTCGAAAAGATAAGATTCGCCAAGAAAGGCGTTGCAAAAGGAAATTCAAGCCAAACTGTTGTGGGAACTATTACATTTGTAAATGAAGACTAACTTGTAAAATTCATCTGGGCATTTTTGTAAAATCCAATGGTTATTAACAAATGAAATTATACTTACAATTATTATTTACAATACTTTTCCTAAGCATTGAAATGACAATGATTTTATTTAAATATTTCCCCTTGTTTCGACGTTTTTCGGATTAAACGAGAGCACTTTTATATTTTCCCAGAAATCAATATCAATAAGTTGATAAGAGATCAGTTGTATGATAATCGCATCAGTCTAATGACAACCTTCTCATATAAATGGGAAAAATTGTAATCTAAACTCTCAGTTGCAGTCGAATAAAAAATTAGAAATGATCAAGTCGTGCGCCCTTTTGTGGGGAATTCTGTTCCTGATTTGCCCAAGTGCAAATGCAAATGCAAGTGCAGATTCAAGCGACGCTTTGAACAGAACCTCAATGATTCTTCGACGGAATTGTCAGCCGCCCCGCAGGATGATGGGCGGAATAAGGGCGCCTGCGGAATCAGCTCCCTGGATGGCACTCCTCCACCTCCTAGATGACCTATCCTCGTGTCGCTGTGGAGGAACTTTAATAACCTCAAGTACGCATCCTTCATTTTTATTGGATACTAGTAATCTTTTCTCTTTTCTCTTTTCTGTTAGACTTTATCCTAACTGCCGCCCACTGCATAAAGTTGTGTCCACGAAATCAAGAGTGAGTAATTTATTTTGTTTACAGTTAGTTGAGAGTGCCAAATATATATTATACTTTACATGACTTTAGGACCTCTATTAAAATTTCACTATTACCTTCAATTTCTTAAGGTCACATATTCTTAATTAATCATTACCCAAAATAATTTGTATTGTCGTAAACTTATTATTTTCATTTATGTGGCATTTTATTCAGCCTCTAACACATTACAAACCTTTCCACAACATTATAATTTTTTTTTTAAATCGGATTAGCTTAGCAAATTCTAAATATATATTTTTGAAGTAGATTATTATCAGTTCTCTTCTTAAATTTCTCGTGTAAACAAATATTATATATATTTATGTATATTCCCATAAAATAAAAATGTACCTTAACTACATATTATATAACAATCAGGTTAATAATTATCCAGTTGACATTATAATTTATAATGACTGGATTATTGTTTAAATATGGTCCTATACAATGTATTATTTGAAGAAGATTTCTATATAATATCTCTTACTCGCATATATGTTTGCTGTAAAATTGCTTGACTTTTAACAGGTTAAGGGTTTGCTTGGGAACCAAAAATGTAACATCGCCGAATGACTGCTTGGAAAACTATGGAATCGAACGTATTATTATGCACGAGGAATTTAATCTCTATGAACAGGTCAACGATATTGCTTTGCTGAAACTCAACGGCTCAGTAAGGAAATTAGGTAGGTCTTAACAAAATTCAAAATCCATTTTTCTAATCCACTACATTAAAATACAAATTTAGTCATTTTCTTGCTTACTCTTTCTGTGTAATAGACAAGTTCACAAGCTTTTTTCCATACAATTATTTTTGATTATTATTCCATTCTCTTTCATTATTAAAATCTAAAATTTAAGGATATATTCGGCCGGTTTGTCTACCCATTCTCCCCGCCAGTCTGCAGAAATTCCCAGATTTGGGTGCAAATTACCACAGCTTTGGATGGGGAGTCACTGAGGACGGCAACCAGTCGACGGAACTCATCCAAATCCAAGTGCAGAGCAGCGAATGTCCTTACTCCTCCAACGGCATGTTCTTCTGTACCACAAGTCATAAAGTGGACTCCTGCCAAGGAGATTCCGGCGGACCGATGATAGCGCAACGCCTCCAGTTTGGGATCATCGCCCATGGAAGAATCGAGTGCGGATCGGCAGGCGGAGCCTTCAACACAAACGTCTCCTACTTCATGCCGTGGATTGTGGAGCGACTGGCAGAACACCTTTAATCGGTACCATCAACAAATCCACCAAACATGTTCTTAAACTTATAAATAATAATAATTGAGAAAATACACGAACGATATCACTTTTATGTGCCATCCCAATAAGAAATATCACCAATAAGCAAATTTTTTTTATTCTTTTTGCAGTTACTATTATTTTTCTTTTAGGAAACTTTTTGCATCCAAAAATTTTAGTTTTCAAGACGAGGGAAAAAGTTAAATAAGTAGATTTTCACAAAAATTCAAACGGCACTTAAATTACCTTTTCATTGATACCAAAAAGTTAAACGAAGCAAGATCAAGTTTCGAGTATATTTCACTTTTATTTTGTCAAAATAATTATGCCGACTAGTGTATATACAGCAGATATAAAAAAATATTTACCAGAAATACCTCTTATTTTTTTTTTCACATTTCACATTTTAAGGCCAGTAATTTTTGAAAAGTCGTTGTCTGGTGCCATATCAGCCAGCTCCTGACAGATTTTAGGATTGGGCTTCACAGCACTAGGTCTCTCATATTTGCGTTGTAACCAGTGTTGAGAAAGACCTATTTTGGGGCAGAACGCAATCAGCTGTTTTTTCGTCGACGAAAACAAATTGGTTGATTCGCTAGTTTTAGATTTAAAAAGGTGAAATACATGGATTTTCCGGATAAAATGGACTTGGAGAACGAAAGGGTGCTAAAGCTGATATTTCCCGATGGAGTTCCAGGTGGGTTATTGACAAGAACATCTCAAATAGACACCGAACTCATGTTCTATGTGTTTACCAGACAATCTGCGTGGCAATCCGGAGCTGGACAATTATTTGGCCAAACTGGGCACCTGCAAGGTGGAGCAGCTAAAGAAGGAGCAGACGCGGCTGGCGGACGAGGCGCGCAGCATCCTAGAGCAGACGCAAGACCTGGCCATCTCGAACTACAGAACATTCATCACCACGGCGGAAAACTCGCGTTCAATCTTCAGTGAATTCCTGCGTTCGGAGCAGCAATTGGACACGCTGGTGGACAAGTTGCCGGACCTCAGTGTCCAGTGTGAGCGCTTCCTGCAGGACTCTGCTGAGTTGAATGAGCAGCGGCGCCTTAATTCGATTACGCTGCAGAAAAACGCTCAACTGCTGGAAGTTTTGGAGCTCCCGCAGCTCATGGAGCGCTGCATCCGCGAAGGACGCTACGAGGAGGCACTTGAGCTGGCTGCCTATGCCACGCGTTTGGGCCAGCACCAGGGTCACATTCCCGTAGTTACAGTGGGTGGTCTACGCTCGCTTTAATCCTTCTTTTGTAACCAGTTTCAATCCTTTCCAGAGCATCGTGCGTTCGGTGGAGGCCTTGTGGCACACCATGCTGGTGCAACTGGTGGCCCAACTGCGAACGGATCTGCAACTGCCCAAGTGCCTGCAGATCGTGGGCTATCTGCGACGCATGCAGGCCTTCGGGGACAACGAGCTGCGACTCAAGTTTCTGCAGGCCAGGGACGCCTGGCTGACATCCTGCTTGGAAGCCATTCCCAGTGGAGATGGTAAATAGAATTATTAGCACTGCATAATTTGGCTCAATCATGACAGCACCCCACCGCTAGGATAAGTCGCTACTGGCTTATCACCGGTACGATCGAAAATCAATGATAATGAATCTTCTACAAGAAATTGTAGAGGCTCTAAGCTCCCGGGTGGAGTAACAGAATGTAAATTATACGACAGAATACTGTTTGTTTCCTAAACCATTAAGGAACTTTAATGAATACGCTTTTTTATTTAAGATATAATACATTTCCTTTTCGCTAGAGCCTTTAAAGGAGTAATTAGTTAACTCCATTTAAATCACGCAGGCAATACAGAAGCAACAATAACATTGGCTACTCTTGGAGTTTTCACTGATTAAGATTTTGATTTTTTTTTTCGTCACAGCCCAGCAACACCTTACCAAAACCATCGAGATCACGCGCATCAACCTGTTTAACATCATAACCCAATACCGTGCTATTTTTCCGGAAGAGGAGGGTAACCTAAAAACGCAGAGTTCGTTGAAGCCTTTGCAGGGAGTCAGCTGTAATGGAGACCGACTTTTCCAGGCCTGGCTGCACAACAAGGTTTGTACTTTCTAAGATTGTAATTATGGATTAATTATAATTTTAATGGATGTTATTTGTTTCCCAGATCAACGACTTTTTGCAAACCCTAGAGCGTGATCTTCAGCTGGGAGTGGGCTCCGTGGAAACGGTTCTGGGTCAGTGCATGTACTTCGGATTGTCTTTCAGTCGCGTTGGCGCAGATTTCCGTGCGCTGATGGCCCCCATATTCGTGGGTGTGATTCGTCGACGGTTTGAGAACAGTGTGGAGCAGGTGAACGAGCAGTTCGATCGGGAGCTGGAGAGATTCACGCTGATCAACAAGGTGGCGCTGCACTCCCACGCCCGCAAGCAGGTGGATCCCGAGCAGGAGTCCTTTGCCCCACCGGAAACGCTGCTGGATTTCTATCCGCTAGCCGCTTTGTGCAATGGATACCTGAGTGCCTTGAACGAGCTGCGGCTGTGCGCTCCCTTGGCCTTGGCCACCGATGTTACCCGCTGCCTGCAGCACTCCTTGCAACTGGCCGCCCAGCGCGTGCTCGCCTTCTACCGCCAGGAGCAGCAGGCCTTCGCCGGCAGCGAACGGGAGGCGTTCACGCGGCTCTGCTCGTGCCTCGCCTACGATTTGGTGCCCTACGTGCAGCGCTGCGTCCACGGTGTCTTTCCGCCGCAGTCGCTCACCGTTCACTTGGGCATAAGTCTGCTGCAGCTGGAGCAGCAGCAGCTCACCTACTTGGAGCAGCCGCGCATCCTGGAGCCCCTGAAGCACCTTCTGCCCACCAAGGCGCTGGTGCAGCCGCAGGAAACCTCCTTGGAAACGAAGCCAAGTGTTGGTATTCCCGTCACTGCGGAGGGATAATGCAAACTAAATTAGAGCTTGAGTGAAAGTAATGTAATTTATTAGTTGTTAAACATATTCCAATATTTATATGTCTTCAAAATGCTTAGATTGTAACTTTTAAAGGAAACATATAAATCAAAATTGTTCATATATACAAAAGTGAAAATACTTGTAACCTTTCTCGTTTTCTTGTATTATTATGATTCTAGAATTATGTTCTTCAAACAATAAAGCTTAATATTTTTGAGATTGGCTGCAACGTTTTATACCTAAGTACATATTTTGGATTTTATCTTAAATTCATAACCAAGCAATTTTTTTTTTTTTCTGCATACTTTTTTAAAACATAAATAAGAGTAAAATTGGTCTGTGTTCATAATAATTCTTAATATTTACTATAACGTATACAACTGTATTTAATGTTTATTTATTTCCCTCAGCTGAAGCAGGCTAAATTATTGTAAGAGGTGTTATCCCGTGTGTGGTTCTTCCACTCAATCGTTTTGTTAATATCACCACTTTTTCCCGCGAATAAACTCGCGATTGAGCGCGAGTGGTTTTTCGAGGGGCAGGGGGATTGGACCAGGTTGTGTGCTGACCCACTGGGGAACCCCTTTTTGTAATAATATTTTTACTTAGGTGCCCAACGATCAAAAAGCGGCTCGCTGCGGTTGTCCAACCGCCGAAACCAAAGCCAAAGAGTTGCAATCAGCTCCACTCACGCCCTTCCATCCGAATTTTCCAAAAACTAAAGCGGCGACATGGCAGGTCAGATTGAGTTCGGAAAATTGGGGAAAAGGGAAAAGGGGAGAGTCGCCGACGAGGGCCGCGCTTATAAGCAATTTCGCGAACAATGACTAAATTTCGGGAAAAGCGAGCGACGATTTTCCCTCGCCGTTTGTTGCTGTTGTTCCACTGCTGTTGCATCTGAGCGAATCTGAATGCGACGCAGTGCCCGAAAATTGGAAAACATGGCAGCTGAATGCACAACTGGCGGATCACAAACGAATGCACTGAGCGAAAATGGAAGTTCATCGAAAACAATTTCATAAGCATTATGACTTGATACAAAATGTACACACAAGTAAAAACAACATTACTATTACTTTTTATTATGTAGGGAATAAAATAACATGTTAAATAGTAAAATTTTAATATAATTTTGTTTAATTTAATTTTTGCTTTTATAAAACTTTAGCTGGGTTTTTTCTATCATTAAGTAGATTATGTGTATTGGCATTAAATATCGTGATTTTTAGCGAATAAGTAAAGTTTGTTTTATAAATTTTCTTTTATTTTACAGTAACTGCCTTATAATACTTATGTTTAATATTCCAACTTAGTGAAGAGTGCCCCTCTGTCATTTAGAAAGTCTTAAAATATTAAACTTAAAAGCAAACTTATAATATTATTACAATTTGTTTATTACGGTTACAATGTTGCTTCTTATGATATAGTAAACAATATGTACCGGGTAGGTTAGGCTTATTTTTCCCAGTGCTGTTCTTAGGGGGCGCTGGACTAGGACATGGACGTGGGCATAGCGCTCCGTTCGGCATTCAGCGGCGACTCATCGTTCAACGTCAGCGCCGGATGCGTTTTGTGGCCACGGCCTTTGTGGGTGTACCGCTTTTTCGGGTGTGTGTGGAAGGGAGGGGGGATTGAGGGGGTGGTGGTGGTGGTGCAGTACAGTCGGATCTGGACTAGGGGCCTTTGTATTTTTAAGTCCACCACTAAATACAAACGAAAGCACTCAAGCACAAGTTGGCCACGATTTCCCAATCGCAGTCTCTCCGGCCTACTCCACACACACACACACACACACTAACTCACGCTCAGACACGCACAATATAGTACGTATACGGCCGTAGACCAAAGTCCGGACTCCATCGTACGGACTCGTCATAGTACAAATGGAATTTGGGATTTTGATTGCGAATCGAAATAGATTTTGTGGTATTTGGCAAGCAGTGCGAAACAAGCGGCTAACAACCTGTGTCTGTGTGTGTGTTAGTGAGTGTGTGTGTGTCTGTGTTTGCATGCATGTGAGTGTGCGTTCGCTGTGAGTGTGTCTGTGTGTGTTCATTTGTTACTTTGGCATGGACAACACTGCGTATACGCGCTTTATACTGTCCGTTGATTGATTGAGTTTGCGAGGCCTTTTACACGCTCGCTGCCTTCGTTTTTGCCAGCCCCTCGTTTATTTTGCATTTTTGCAAAGCCCCTACGCTCCCCCTCCCACTTTCCCCTCCCCTTTTCCATCCCACCCCCTTTTTGTTTGCATTTGTGTCTGTTTTTGCTGGCCACTCGCTTTTCGGTTCGTTTTAATTCGTTACCAAGTTGATTTTGTTAACCTGAAAAGCCGATTTTCCACACCTGAAAAATGTTGCCAACAAAAACTGTCCAAGGAAAAAAAAGGGACTTTGCAAGAGGCTTTACGATTGGAGGAGCTGTCACCAAAAATTAAACTAAATTTACAAAGTCTTTGTAAATAAATACAAATTATTAATACTTGATTAATTGTTTTTATTGTTACGTTCGTGCAAAAAGGAAAATCGGAAAAAAATAACATTTTCTTAGGAAATATAAATAATTGTATTGATCTTTTTGAAGGTTTACAAAATAAATTGTTTAAACAATAATATTCATTGAACGATAGGGGTTTGTGACTTAATCTACATTTCTCATCTCTTTATTCAACATCATCTATGAAACTTAACCAAATGTTTTCCAATAAGATATCTTAATTCAAGAAATTAAACTTGCAATTTTTTTGTTTGCTCCGATAACATGTGCTTCGAACATTCTATGCACCTTTTTAAAAAGTCTATAATTATTTTTAAAATATTGAGCTTAAAATATTAACCTACCATAAAATGTATATTTCACCAATTTATTTTTGTAATACAATACGTTTTAATGGGTCATAAAAAGTTGTGTTTTCTTTATTGTATTTGGACTTGTGAATACAATAACAACAATTTCAGAAGATCGAATTTTCTGTTGAAAATGGCAAACCGCTTCGATCGAAATTAACCTACATACGTGCATAATCGCATTGAATCGCAAAGTTAAACCGCCTTAAACTGCCCGGGCAATTGAAACCGCTAAATCCAAGGACTCGCGTTACCGATTGTGCCAACCCTTGTTCGTTTTCCCAAAATAAAGGAAAGGAGGAAGCTGAGGGTCACCGGCGAGTGGGAGGTTGGCTGGCAATGCGACGCAGCTCTTCCATTGTCCTGCTGCTAATTTATCGGGATAATTGCCAAATGACCAAATGGGGAGTTTTATTACAGTTGCAAGTAGCGGAAGAGGGGGGAAGCGGGGGGAAAGCGGGGGGAGCAGGATCAGGACTGATGAGCAAAGCACAAAAATGGCCAGACAACGATGACCGAGGGTAAGCACCCCAGAAAGGGCGGACACATGTGGCCTTTCTGGCTCTCCGTCCTCCTCCTCCCCTTGTCGCATTTTTAATTGTAATTCATAAATTACATTATTTACCGACTCCGGGGCAGGTTAGTTAATGATGCTGCCATTTGGGGACGGCTCATGGCTCTCCGCCCCCGAAAATCGACGGAAATCGATACACCCCCTGGCTGCAAAACCGCCACAAAAATGGCGTCTCATAAATGTCAACTCGGAGCTGTAAACTGCCAGCGAAATTGAATTTGCCACTTAACACCGCCACCTGCCTGGGCTCCACTCCCTCAGTCCCTCGGCGGGCTCCATTCTGCACTGATTCAATTTGGATACTTTTACTTATTCAACTTATTCGTTATGCAAAATTATTGCCACGCCGTATTGAGTGGGATAAGCTGGGAAGAATGAATGAAAGGAAATCGGGGAGCTGTTCAACGAGTTGGAAAACACCCTGGGAGTTCTGCGCTGAAGAGCGTGTGTATGTAAATTCGCAAACAAATCACTCGAGCTCGCGAAATACCCTTGAGGCGAATCCCTTAGTTATCCTTTAGCGATTTTTCAAATAAACATGCAACACATTTTTTAGAAACCCACTCCCTTCCTTCCAGTCAGCCAGCGGCTGCCAAAAGTTTGACGCGTTTTCGGGCCAGTATCAGATTTCCCCTTTCTTTCAGTTCAGTGCTGTCAACTATAAAAAGAAAGGGGTGGAAAATAAAAAGGTAGCTGTTTAAACAACTTTAAAAATATGAAAAATATGGAATTTATTACTAAAGTAAAATGTAAGCCTTAAAATGTTCTTTAAGGTTTAAGTATCTAAACAATAACTTAAAAGAATAAACAAAACTAATAAAGCAAATTAATCATCTATAAAAAATTTTTACCAAAAATGTAGATTTAATTTAAGGATCTTAAATAGTAAGAATAAATAAATACAAAAAGAAAAGTCTTAAAAAAATCAATAGAAATAAGAAACGTCTTTCAATAATTTTTTATTGCATCGTCCACAGATAAAAGAACACTTATCTTTCGCAATTTTTATTGCTAGAATATTTTTTTGGAAATAAATTTTGTTTGCATTCGGTGAAATTACAAATTATTCAGCTATAAAAACTCCTACTCCGCAGCACTGTTTCTGTCGTGTTTTGGCTTCTAAAATGATGATGATGCTGATACTCCTGTGGATTCCGATAGCGATGACAACGAGTGGAGTGCGCCTCGAGGACTTTCGGCTGACATGTGTGGGCGCTTTTATAGGCTAATGGCCTGCGATGGCTGCCGCGGGCCAAACGCCTGTGACTTTGACGGATTTTCCGAGCAAATTTCGTTAGGCTTGCCTGATTAGCTTCTGGGGAATTTACACACGCAGCTCCGCGGGCTGCGGGGAACTTCACACTTGTCATATCGTTCGGGGATATTTGGCTGGAGGTCGGACAACCTCGCTTTGGGACGTTTTCACATTTAAACGCTGGTTGCAAAATCCTCAATCAGAAACTTCAGGCAAAAGATTGAGAAATTTAAATTCTTTTAACCTAAATGGTTTGAATTTCAACTAGATTTCTTTGGGGAGGATGAACACTGAACTATGCCGCCTATAATAATTCTGGAGTGAATCGAAGGATAGTGTCTGCTATGTATTTATACTAATTTAGTTTTAAATGTTTAAAATCATCACTACTTAAGTGGTATAGATTTTTTACGAAACAATTTTAGAAAATTGCAATAGTTTGCAACTAAAGTATACTTTATTTCCTTACGTCATACATTTGTATACTACTTGTCTATATTTTATAAAACCAACTGTTCATATGCATACAAATATTTTTAATGCTACA